TTTTCAATTTTTCGATATTTCCATTTTTCCACTTCTCAGATTTTCGATTTTCCAATTTTTCGATGCTCGATTTTTCAGTTATTTCGATTCTTCAATTTTTCGATTTTTTTAAATTTTGGATTTTTCAGTTTTTCGTTCAGTTGATTTATTTTCCATGTTTCGATATTATAATTTAACATTTTTCGATTTTACGTGTTTTTGAATCGTCATTTTAGTTAAAATTTAAATCGAAAAACCGAGTTCGTATTTTTAAAAATTTTCAAATTTTACATTTTAATTTTGGGGATTTTTCAATTTCTGGAATTTTCAATTTTTTGATATTTTCATTTTTAGATTTATTGATGTTTGTCCATTGCTCCAACTTTCAACTTTTCGGATATCGATTTATACGTTTTTCGATTTTTGGATTTCTAAAATTATTGATTTTTCGATTTCTAAAATGTTTTGATTTCTCAATTTTTCGATATTTGAATTTTTCAATTTTTCTTAAATTTTAGATTTTTTAGTTTTTCAGTTCTTTGTTCAGTTGATTTATTTTCCAATACTTCGACATTATAATTTTACATTTTTCGATTTTTGTGTTTTTGGTTCGATTTTTTAATGAAAATCAAAATTTTAAAAATCGAAAAACCTAGTTGTCAAGTTTTTGTATATTTAAAATTTTTCAAATTTTAGATTTTTACATTTTACTTTTGGGGATTTTCCAATTTCTGGAATTTTCAATTTTTTGATATTTTCATTTTTAGATTTTTTTGATATTTATCTTTCAACTTTTCGGATTTCGATTTATCCGTTTTTTAATTTTATTTACTATTCGATTTATAAAATTTTTTGATTACTCAATTTTTCAATATTTGAATTTTTTAATTTTATTTTAAATTTTAGATTTTTCATTTTTTGTTCTCCGTTTAGTTGATTTATTTTCCAAAGCTTCGATATTATAATTTCACATTTTTGGATTTTACGTGTTTTTAATTCAATTTTTTAAATTAAAATTTGAATTGTAATAATCGAAAAACTGAGGTGTCAAGTTTTTGTATTTTAACAATTTTTTAGATTTTTAGATTTTTACATTTTAATTTTAAGGATTTTTCAATTTCTGGATTTTCAATTTTTTGATATTTCAATTTTTCCATTTTTTAAATTTTATATTTTTCAGTTGTTCGATATTTCCGTTTTTCAATTTTTTGAATTTTTGACTTTTCAGTTGATTGATTTTTCAATTTTTCGATATTTGAAATTTAACATTTTCGATTTTACGATTTTTTTACTTTTTCGATTTTTAAATTTTAAATTTTTTCAATTTTTGTGTTTCGATTTTGAAAATTTTTGATTTTTCGATATTTCAGTTTTTCAGTTTTTCGATTTTTCAATTTTTCTATTTTTCGATTTATCGAGATTGAAATGTTTCGACTTCTGGATTGTTCAATTCGTTTCAATTTTGAGTTTTTTTAAATTTTAAATTTCTCAATTTTTCGATTCTTCCACTTTTCGGATTTTCTTTTTTCCAATTCTTCGATGTTTCTTTCGACTTTTCAATTTCTCGACTTTTCAGTTATTTCTCTTCTTAAATTTTTCGATTTTTTTAAATTTTGGATTTTAGATTTCTTTGTTTTTAGATTTTTCGACTTTTCAGCTTTTCGATATCTGAATTTTTCAATTTTTTAAATTTTAGATTTTTCAGTTTTTCAGTTCTTCGTTCAGTTGATTTATTTTCCATGTTTCGATATTATAAAAGTAACATTTTTCGATTTTACGTGTTTTTGAATCGTCTTTTTAGTTAAAATTTAAATCGAAAAACCGAGTTGTCAAGTTTTCGTATTTTTAAAAATTTTCAAATTTTACATTTTTACATTTTAATTTTGGGAATTTTCCAATTTCTGGAATTTTCAATTTTTTGATATTTTCATTTTTAGATTTTTTTGATGTTTCGATTGCTCGATCTTTCGACTTTTCGGATTTTGATTTATCCGTTTTTCAATATCGATTTGCAAAATTATTGATTTTTCGATTTCTCAATTTTTCGATATTTGAATTTTTCAATTTTTTTAAAATTTTACATTTTTGAGTTTTTCGATTATTCGTTTAGTTGATTTATTTTCCAATGTTTCGATATTATAATTTAACATTTTTCGATTTTACTTGTTTTAATTCGATTTTTTTAATTAAATTAAAATTTTAAAATTACGAAAACCGAGTTGCCAAGGTTTTGTACTTTTAAAAATTTTCCAATTTTAGATTTTTACATTTTAATTTGGGGGCTTTTCAATTTCGGGAATTTTCATTTTTTTTGACATTTTAATTTTTCAATTTTTAGATGTTTCGATTGCTCGATCTTTCAACTTTTCGAATTTCGATTTATACCATACGTTTTTCAATATTCCGATTTCTAAAATTACTAATTTTTCGATTTCTCAATTTTTCGATATGTAAATTTTTATTTATTTTTTAATTTTAGATTTTTCAGTTTTTCAGTTCGTTCAGTTGATTAATTTTCCAATGTTTCGATATTATAAAAGTAACATTTTTTGATTTTACGTGTTTTTGATTCGATTTTCTAGTTAAAATTTAAATTTTAAAGCTCCTAAAACCGAGTAGTCAAGTTTTTGTATTTTTAAAATTTTTCAAATTCAGATTTTTACATTTTAATTTTGAAGATTTTTCAATTTCTGGAATTTTCAATTTTTTGATATTTTAATTTCTTGATTTGTTGATGTTTCGATTGCTCGATCTTTTCGGATTTCGATTTATCCGTTTTTCAATTTTTCGATTTCTAAAATTATTGACTTTTCGAATTCTAAAATTTTTTGTTACCCAATTTTTCAATATCTGAATTTTTCAATTTTATTTTCAATTTTAGATTTTTCATTTTTTCAGTTCTTCGTTCAGTAGATTTATTTTCCAAAGCTTCGATATTATAATTTCACATTTTTGGATTTAACGTGTTTTTATTCGATTTTCTAAATTAAAATTTGAATTGTAATAATCGAAAAACTGAGTTGTAAAGTTTTTGTATTTTAACAATTTTTTAGATTTTAGATTTTTACATTTTAATTTTTCGATTTATCCGTTTATCAATTTTTCGATTTCGAAAATTTTTTGATTTATGAATTTTTCCATATTTGAATTTTCATATATTTTTTTAATTTTAGATTTTTCAGTTTTTCAATTCTTCGTTTAGTTGATTTAATTCGCAATTTTTCGATATGTAATTTCGCATTTTTCGAATTTTGGTATTTTTGATTCGATTTTGTAAATTAAAATTCAGATATTAAAAGTTGAAAAACCAAGTTGTCAAGTTTTTGTGTGTTAAAAATTTTTCAAAATTTCAATTTTTTGATATTTTAATTTTTCGATTGCTCGATCTTTCAAGTTTTCGGATTTCAATTTATCCATTTTTCAATTTTTCGATTTCGAAAGCTTTTGATTTCTCAATTTTTCGATATTTCAGTTTTTCAGTTCTTCGTTTACTTGATTTATTTTCCAATGTTAGAATTTAACACTTTTCGATTTTATGAGTTTTTGATTCGATTTTTTTTTTAATTTAAATTTTAAAAATCGAAAAACCGAGTTGTCAAGTTTTTGTATTTTTTTAATTTTTCAAATTTTATATTTTTAATATCCTAATTTTTCGATTTTTTGATGTTTCGATTACTCGATCTTTAAACTTTTCGGATTTCGATTTATCCGTTTTTTCTCCATTTGTAAAATTTTTTGATTTCTCAATTTCTTGATTGATCGATATTTCTGTTTTAAATATATTTATTTATTGATTGGTTAGGCTGTAGGTACTCAAGGGTAAGAAAACTTCTGTCAAAATAACCTTCGACCAATTTTTTAGTCAAGGCAAATTCTAAGGAAAGTTCTACGAAGCAATGAAAGAGTTTCCTGAGATTTATTTAAAGGCGAAAATATATGTATAGAGAAACAGTGACTTCTATAAAAATCAATCATAAATTAATTATTGTGGAAATTTCATATAGAAGGCTAAATCGACCGTATCCGAAACTGATAGAAGTTAGTTGCTATGGAGCATTGATCAATAATAGCAATATAATATACACCGAGTGGGAGAAAACAATTAAGGTTAATAATTTATGAAACCGTTTAACTGTCATTTAACGACTACCATTTTCTGTAAACATTATGTAAATTTAACTATACTTATAAACCAAAGGATTTGTTAAAAATTCCATTTTATTGTGCACATTTTACACATAAGCACATGTACGGTGTGCAATATAAAATGGCGGAATGTGTTCTCAGCTCAAGAACGCAGACAAAAATAGGTATAGATACTGTCTGAAAGTTGCAAACAATAAACCGGACACTGGTTACTTTGGAAACTTGCAAGTAGTTGTACTGGAATGTTGATACTTTGTTTTTAAAAACATAAAACAAATTACTACTGCTAACTGCTAAGTAATTACGTTGTTGTTGTTTTTAAAGTATTTTGAACTTTCGCCCAACTTATCACACACGATCAAGATCTTCCGATATTTTAAGATATGCGCCACAGTGTCTAATTTCGCGTTGTATCAACAAATCTAACAAATCACATACAGGGGCCCTAGCTGGGTCCGACACATCTACAGAGACCCTATTCTTACACGACAACAATACGTCAACAATTAGAAAACAAACGACCACAGCCGCCTTTAAACCTCTGCTTCAATTACCCCTTCCGCTTTAATCGTAGTTAATCTCAATTCTCGATCCTCGAAGCGGAATCAAACCCAAAACTACCCTTGACCCTCGACCCCGGCCCGCCACCGCTCAACCCCCAGATCCGAAATCCAATTATTCCGGCACTGACGCATCCGTTGGCGTTTTAACGAGAGCTGCTTTTATTAACAGGTCCGAGCGCCAATTCCCAATTCTGTAATTGGCTTAATTGCCAGTTACACCCACCGAATTGTTTACAAACTATGGTTGATCGAATGGCATCGAGCGGCTTTTCGTGGTTATGTTATCGTAAGTGACAGGTGGGGTTTACTCACTGTGTAGTAGGTCAAGAGGCCCGAGTTGTCATCCAAGACGAACCACCGGTACTGCCAGCCCTTCATCACGTTGGTCCACTTGCTCAAGGAGCCCTCCATCACGACCATTTTACGATTTTTTAAGTTACACCTCTAAACTACTCACATCAAGCCGTTTGGTTACGAATTTGACGTTTGTGGCATTCCATGTCCCTAGGACTGACCGGTTGGCAGCGCGCAGGCGCTGCGCTGTTTTGTTGGTTGCATAAGTCGCTACTGTTTAAATACGAAATTTTTAAACTAGTTATACTTAATACCTAAAAATAAATAGATGAAAAATAATTTAGAATTTTTATAAATATTGTTACCCATGTCAAGCTAAATTTGTTTAACTTTTACTGAAGTTATTAGTTCTGAATTTCAAAAAGATACCTAGACTTTCAAGTTATGGGGACTCGCTAGACGAGGTATAACATTTTTTTGGTTTTTTGTATGAAAAAATGATGTTAATATAGATGTGTCATACATCAAACTGCAGCTTTTTTCATATTCTAGAGCGCAGAGACCAGTTCAATCATCTAAAAAAATATGGCTGAGAAATATCGTAAAAAAAGCACCATTGTATGTTTTCTTTTCTAGTTTTTTGTGTCATAACCATCACTGAATCGCTTGAAAATTCGTACATGGATAAAACATCACTTTTTACAGTGCGCAGAGTCATTAAATGTTTGTTAGTGGTACAATTTGTTTAAATAATAATGTGTTTATTAAAATCAAAATATACCACAAATTAATGCAAAATACGTCGAATAACTTTAACAGGAATATCAGAGGAAAATTAATGATCTATTGGTTTGCAGAGTTTTTAACAAAAACTAACAATTATTGAAAAAAATGGGTATCAATTCGACAGAATTTGAGCAGTTAGTTCAGTACTTTGCCGATAGGAGCGCCACTAAAATTTACGGAAGCGACTTTCCAGGTAAAACCCTTATCGCCTGCTCTACCATAAGCTGATTGTTAGAGTTCTCGGCTGATTTTTCTAATTTATGGAAAGGAACTCAGTTTTATAACAAGCCGCCAGGACCGGGCGTAGTAATATATTGTTAAGGAAATTAACTTTTACGCAATGAGGTACTATCATAAAACCGAATTAAAACTGGGGAACTATAATATTTTTACTCCACTCAGGATCCTAATTTCAATACACATGACTACTAAAAATTCATTGTAATATTATTGTTAATATATATTTTGCTTTGTTAATTAGTAAAACTAATAAACATATTTATAATAATAATAAAAAATATATAAAATACAGCTTTTGTTTAAGACGTATAAGTAGCTAAGTGTATCTACTACTTATCCCAGAAAGGAGGTGTTTTAAAAAAGCCCTACGCCCAATAACTTCCCCCTTCATTGTTTACTCGAAAAAAGTGCTCGTATGTTTTCATTTGCCAAGAGATCATTTTCAAAATATATTTATAATAAAAATGTGCAAGTCTTGGTGATGAAAAATGTACTCCTAATAAATTATTAAAGTACATAAAAAAATAGAAACAAATTTTATTTATTTTAAAAAAATCTCTCGCAAAGGTAGGTTCCTCTTTCTTCTTGAATTAATTATTTCGGGCAATAATGCCCCAAAGTAAAATCTGCCAAGTTTATCTGCCATCTTTTTACATATATTTCTTCGTCTTTATAAACTTTTTCTATATTTATTCCTTTGGGTGTCCATACAACAAAATAAACTTGTGAAATACCCGTAACAAGCATTTGTCCCTGGACTTGAAAGTAGTAATCATGATTTTTTTTAGTTTCAATTCTCTATCTGTCAATGTACAAAATTTGATTATTTTTTTTCTAACCGCTTCTTCGGGAGACAAATCTTGCGATTTTGAAGGGCATTTAATTTCGACTAATGCACTCCTATCCTCTAGAACCCTGTCTGGACTAGCAGCCAAGTAAGGAAACTGTTTTGAAATAAACAAGACACACCGTTCAGTTTTTATATTTTTATTTATTTAAAAACACTTGACAGCTTTTTCTTCACTTTGCTGTCCATAGTGTGTAAGACTATTACCTCTAAATGTACTGTACAACAGAGACTCCACAGTTTTAGCTATTGCTGTAGTCGGTCTAAGTTTGTAAATACGTTCAAAATTTGAAGCCGTAATCCTAATTTCTCTTTCTTTTGCCCAAATGTGCCTGTTGCCTAGTGTTTATTTCAATTTGGTCTAAATTCAAAGATAATTTTCTCAAAAAAACCTCTTTGGCTGTCACAAATGTTTCTACATCCATGACAGGATTTTCTAAAAAATATTTAAACCATAATCGCAGTCGGGACCAGCATACGTAAATTTTTTTACGAAATATTTTTTTACGAATACTTTGTCTAAGACGAGCTTGTTTTATAGACGAACAATATTTTTTTGTTATTAAACCAGGACCGTTTTAATCACAATATATTTACTTATCCCCTCTAAAAAATTGATGACGTCACCTCAAAATTTTGCTGAATAAATCCTATCTAAATTGTATAAAATATATTTCTTGTGATTTATCATTCCGTTCATGTTTTTTGGATTTGCATATACAGGGACACCCAAAAAATTAATGAATGCGTAAATTTATTTTATTGATTTAATCAGGAACTACAGAACCCAATTCTTTGAAATCTTGCAAATGTTTTAAGGTTATAAAGAGCATAATAAATTTTTAGTCAAAAAATATATTTGCTTATCACCTCCAAAAAATTGATGACGTCAGCTCAAAAGTTTGCCGCATAATCCTATTTAAAATTTACAAAGTATGATGAGTCTCTTCTTGTAATTCATCATTCCATTCATATTTTTTGGATTCGGATATACAGGGTGACTCAAAAAATTTAATGAATGCGCAAATTTATTTTATTGATTTAATCAGGAACTACAAAACCGAATGCTTTGAAATCTAATGTGAAAAAAAAACATAATAGGCATGCAGTCGTTCAATTTTTTTTTATTTTCCCATTTTTCCATTTCTCAATTTTTCAATGTTTCAGTTTGGGATTTTTTCACTGTTTCGATTCTTTAATTTTTTGGAATTTTGCAATATTTCGTTTGTTCAATTTTTCAAATTATTGATATTGTGTTTTCTCGGTTTTTAAATTTTTCGATATTTTAATTTTTCAGTTTTTAAAGTTTTAGGTTTTTAGATTTCTCACTATCTCGACTTTTCGATTTTTCAGTTCCATGATTTTTCAATTTGTCGAATTTTTAAATTTTAGATTTTTTGTTCTCGATCATTCAATTTTCTGAGTTTTCAGGCTTAGATTTTTTTTGTTGTTCAATTCTGGGATTTTTAGAATCTTTGTTTTTTAAATTTTCCTATTTATCAACTTACTGGGATTTCAATGTTTTGATTTTTTGATTGTTCAATTTCTCGATTTTTTGAATTTTTAGTTTTTGATACGATTTTTTTTCAAAAATTTTCAGTTTTTCATTTTATTTACTTTACGATATTTCAGTTTTACGATTTTTAATTTTTTTTATTTTTCAGTTTTCAATTTTTGACGTTTCTAAATTTTTCGATTTTTCAATTTTTCGATTATCTGATTTTTTGATTTTCCCATTTCTCTATTTCTTGATTTTTCAATTCTTTCTTCAACTGTGATTTTTCAATTTTTCGTTTTCTGGATTTTTCAATGTTTCACTTTTGGATTTTTTCACTTTTCCGCTTCTTCAATTTTCTTTCCATTTTTCAGTTTTTCAAGATTTCAGTTTCGAATTTTTTCACTTTTTCGATTTTTCAATTTTCCTTCCATTTTTCAGTTTTTCAGTATTTCAGTTCTGAGATTTTGCAATGTTTCGGTTCTTCAATTTTTCCATTTTTTGATGTTTCGGTTTCTCGGTTTTTCAATTTTTCGATAGGTATTTTAATTTTTCAATTTTTAAGTTCTAGATTTTTTTGTTTTCCTTGATGTTTTGATTTCGCGATTATTCGATTTTTCAAGTTCTCGGTTTCGATTTTTTGGTTTTCCAATTCTTCGATTTTTAAATTGTTTAATTTTTAGATTGTTCAATTTCTCCATTTTTAGATGTTTCAATTTTTCAATTTTGGTGTAATTTGAAAACGGTATTAATAATACATTTACGCGAATAAACTAATAGACGGGCTTGATAATATATAAGTTTGAATAATATAATAATTATCTCGAATATTAAAATTAATATGTCAAAAGAATATGAGAAATGATTATTCTGTGCTGAAGGTATGTTGTGGGCCGCCTGTCATAAATTATCTTTATTCTGCATTATCGGCTTACAATGCTTTTATGACCCACTTCCGGTAGTCGTCTATCCCAGCGCGTCAGGTAGATTTAAAGAAGAATTGCTGGTTGCGTTTAAGGCAACAAATGGCGCCCAATTCAAACTTGTCTCTCGTCTAGCGTTCCCCCTTATTGACAAATATTTATGCTCAGAAAGCAAAATTAATTAACGAAAATTATCAGTCTAATAAAAATCCGTAGACAGACAGACAGACAGATAAACGGAAACGGAAGACCTATTTTTTCCTACTCTAGTAGTAGTAGTAGCAGTCATGAAAGGTCGAGAAAGTTACACAGCCACAAAATATAAGTAACAGTTTATTCACAAACCTACAAACTACTCATATAAAACACATTACCCCTTCCGTTCCCCCCACCCTAATAATACTTCCCGTGCCCCTTGGCACTCGACGCCACGGCATTAGCAGCTTCATCGGCATTCGCTTGTGCAACCTTCGCAGCGGTAGCGGCTTTTTCCGCGGCGCTTTCAGTCTCTTCCAAATCGGCAATAGCCGCTTCCAACTTGGCGGTCAATTCCGCAATTTGGCTCTTGGCTCCAGATACCATGGCTTGCTGGGAAGCCGCTGCGCCGGCAGCGCCCGCTGCGGCTTGCGAGGCGTGCGCAGCGGTGGCCTGCGCAGCCGCTAAGGCGGCACTCAGGGTGTTCACGTGCTGCTGCGCCTGTTGACTGGCCTGCTGCGCAGCGTTGGCGGCTTGCTGGGCGGAGTTGTCTTGGGCGATTTCGGCCTGGAGCTGCTGCTGGGCGGCTTGGATTTGGTAGTGGAGGTCTTGGACCAGAACTTGCTTGCCCACGACGGCGGCTTGGGCGGCGGAGGCGGCGTTTTTAGCGGCCTGAGCTAAAGAGCTTTTGACGCCGTGAGCCGCTTGGTTTCCGGCGGTGTTCTGGTTTTGGGCGGCGCTGTTGGCTTGCTGGGCGGAGGTGTGGGCCAGGCTGGTGAGCTCGGCGGAGGAGGCGTAGCTGTGGGGGGCATGGTGGGAGTGGTGGGTGGAGGCGGGGGCGGAGTCGTCGTGAGAGGGGTAGGCAGAGGCGACAATCACTAGAAAAATACAAAATACACAAAATAGGACTGATAAATGTAGCCATTTTTGTACTTACGACTACAGGCGATGGTGAAGAAGAGCAACATTGTTGTTAATCTGGAAATCAAAATAGAAATTATTAGGTGTGGTTGAAAAATATTTTCGAAATTTGTACTCACTGTTTGGCTTCGGAGCTGTTCGCTTGGTTGAGGTCAGGTCGACACTGTCCACACTCCAAGAACTACGATTATTTATACCAAAGTTGCTAAACGTTCAAGAGTGCAAAAACTGAACAGTTATTTACCATGTTCTTATTACCGGCAATTCTTGGAAATTTTGTATGATAGGAGCGCGTACTTTCATCTTTTTGTCTCACTAAATGATTAATTGTTTTGATTTTATGGTGTCTTACGTTTCGAAATTATCACGTTTGCTAAAAACACATACCTGCATGTGGCACTAATATCTTATTAGCCAATTTCTTTAAATCGTGCTCACTGCACAATTTTGCGCTTTTTAATTGTGTTTTTGAGAACTTTCTCCGGGTTATTGTTGTGAGGCACTGCGGTGCTCCAGATAGACAGTAAAGACAATGACCTTTTCGAAATTTAGACTCTGACAATTTTTGAAATTGGATTTTGTGCCAACTTTCGAAATATTTAAGTTAAACTGAGTTTTTATGTTAAAAGTTGTAACGTATAAAACGCAGTTGAACATTTGTTGTGATGAAAAAAACTTTTTTAATTATCATGATTTTTTTAGGTTTAATTAATTACTGATTTTATGAATTTTTTTACGAGAAAATTTACATTTCTTAGTAAGACAAAAATTTGCAAAATTTATAGGATTCTTAGTTGATTGTGTGTATATATATTTATATTTTTTTTATTTTCAGTTACCAAATAATTGTAAAATATTCCTCGGTTTTTAATTTTTCAATTCCTTGATTTTCAATTTTTTGACTTCTAGTTTTTAGATTTTAATTTTTTGTCTCTTAATTTTTTGACTTTTAGTTTCTCGATTTTTAATTTTTAGATTTTCCAATTTTCTTTATCCCTATTTTTCATTTTTCAGTTTCTCGATTTTAATTTTTAGATTTTCTAAATAACAATAATTTATTTACGGAAAGTGTTGATTCCGTAAATCTAACCAAACAAATTAATAATTCACTGAAAATAGTGAAAATAAAAGTTAATTGAATTAACTGTTCGATTTTAATTTCGCAATTTTTCGTTTTCACGATTTTTATGTTCACCTTATTGTTGTCTATTTTAATTTTTCATTTTTTAGTGTTACGTTTTTTAATCTTTCAAGTGGTAGTTTTTTCAATTTACGACGTTGCAATTTTTCAATTTTTCAATTATTCAATCTTTTGATTCTTCAGTTTTTCAATTTTTTGATTTTTGTTTCACGATTTAATATTTTTCGATTTTTCAATTTTTAAATGTCTTAATTTTTCGTTGTTTTTAATTTCGCGATTTTTCCTCTCCCAATTTTTAATTTTTATGTTATTCAGTTTTTCTATTTTCAATTTCTCGAATTCTTAATGTTTTCGATGTTTCAATTTTTCGTTTTTTCGATTTTTTTCGATTTTTAAAGTATTTTTTAATTTTTCAATTAGTACTAGTTTTAATCTTTGGGTTTTCAACTTCTTAATTTTGCGATGTTCAATTTCTCGAATTCCACTGCTTAAACTTTTTGATGTTTCATTGTCACAATTTTTCGGTTTCCAATTTTTCAATTATTTATCGATTTTTGAATTATTTTTCACTTTTACTTTCCCGAATCAAAATTTTTCGATTTTCAATTTTGAAATATTTTAATTTTTCGTTGTTATCGATTTTGAGATTTTTCATGTCCCATTTTTAATTTTCGATTTTATGTTTTTCATTTTTTGAGTTTTTATTTAATTTATTTTTTACTTTTTCAACATTGATTTTGATTTTTTTTGTATTTTTATTCGTACTTTTATCGATTTTTAATTGGTCACTTCGGAATTTTTGGAATTCTCAGTATCAAATTTTGGAATTTTTCAATTTTTCGTTTTTTATTTTTTCGATTTTTCATTTTCCCTATTTTTAATTTGTTGATTTGCGATTTTCCGAGTTTTTAAGTGTAAATTTTCACTTTTTCAACTTTGGATTTTTTCAGTTTTTCGATTTTCACTGTCAAGGTATTTTAACTTTTCATTTTTCGATTTTCAATTATTTATCGATTTTTGAATAATTTTTTTCACATTTACTTTCCCGAATTAAAATTTTTCGATTTTCAATTTTGAAATATTTTAATGTTTCGTTGTTATCGATTTTGAGATTTTTCATGTACAGATTTTAATTTTCGATTTTATATTTTTCATTTTTTGAGTTTTTAATTTATTTTTCACTTTTACAATATTGATTTTGATTTTTTTTTGTATTTGTATTGGTACTTTTCTCGATTTTTAATTGGTCAATTCGGAATTTTTCGAATTCTCAGTATCAAATTTTAGAATTTTTCAATTTTTCGTTTATTTTCTCGATTTTTCATTTTCCCAATTTTTAGTTTTTTGATTTGCGGTTTTTCGAGTTTTTAAGTGTAAATTTTTCACTTTTTCAACTTTGGTTTTTTTCAATTTTTCTATTTTAATTGTCAAGGTATTTTAACTTTTCATTTTTTCGATTTTTCAGTATCTCGATTTTTAATTATTCAATTTTTCAACAGTTTTTCAATTCGAAATTTGTCGAATTCTTAATACTTATTAAATTATTCGAGTCTTCAATTTTGGATTTTTTTAATTTTTCGATTTGCAATTTTTGGAATTTCAGATTATTTTTGGTCATTCTCGGTAATTTTCACTTTCTCCACTTTCAAATTTTTCGATTTTTACTTTTTGGGTTTTCTTCTATATTACAATTTTTACTGGTTTTTGGTTTTCGTAATCTCACCTTTCGCTATTTGAGTTTCTAATTTTCAATTATTCAGTTTTTCTTTTCATCAGTTTTTCAGTTCGGAATTTTTGAAATTTTTAGTATCAAATTTTGTAGTTTCGGAATTTTTCAGATTTTCGTGTCTCCAATTTTTCAGTTTTTAGTTATTACTCCTATAGTTTTTTGTTTCCCGTTATTTTAGTTTCTCTATTTTCAGTTTTTTGATTGTGCAATTTTTCGATTTTTATGTTCTCGATTAATATTTTTCAATTTTTCATTTTTAAATATTTTAATTTTTCGTTGTTTTCAATTTTGCTATTTTACTTCTCCCAAGTTTTAGATTTTAAGTTTTTCAGTTTTTCTATTTTCCATTTCTCGAATATTTTTGATTTTTCAATTTCTCATTTTTCGATTTTTTCCGATTTTTCAACTACTCGATTTTTCAATTAATATAGTTTTCATTTTTTTTGGTTTTTCAATTTCTCAATTTTTCGATGTTCAATTTCTCAAATTTCACTACTTAAACTCTTCGATGTTTCATTGTTACAATTTTTCGATTTCCAATTTTTCAATTATTGACCGATTTTTGAATTATTTTTCCACATTTACTTTCCCGAATTAATATTTTTCGATTTTCAATTTTGAAATATTTTAATTTTTCGTTGTTATCGATTTTGAGATTTTTCGTGTCCCATTTTTAATTTTCGATTTTATATTTTTCATTTTTTGAGTTTTTATTTAATTTATTTTTTACTTTTTCAACATTGATTTTGATTTTTTTTGTATTTTTATTCGTACCTTTCTCGATTTTTAATTGGTCAATTCGGAATTTTTCGAATTCTCAGTATCAAATTTTGGAATTTTTCAATTTTTCCTTTATTTTCTCGATTTTTCATTTTCCCAATTTTTAATTTTTTGATTTGCGGTTTTTCGAGTTTTTAAGTGTAAATTTTCACTTTTTCAACTTTGGTTTTTTTCAATTTTTCGATTTTTACTGTCAAGGTATTTTAACTTTTCATTTTTTCGATTTTTCAGTATCCCGATTTTTAATTATTCAATTTTTTAACAGGTTTTCAATTCGGAATTTGTCGAATTCTTAATATTAAATTATTCGAGTCTTCAATTTTGGACTTTTAAATTTTTTTCGATTTGCAATTTTTGGAATTTCAGATTATTTTTGGTCATTCTCGGTATTTTTCACTTTCTCCACTTTCAAATTTTTCGATTTTTACTTTCTGGGTTTTCTTCTATATTACAATTCTTACTGGCTTTTGTTTTTCGTATATTTACTTTTGAGTTTCTAATTTTTAATTATTCAATTTTTCTTTTCATCAGTTTTTCAGTTTGGACTTTTTGAAATTTTCAGTATCAAATTTTGTAATTTCGGAATTTTTCAGTTTTTCGTGTCTCCAATTTTTCAGTTTTTAGTTATTACTCCTATAATTTTTCGTTTCCCGATATTTTAGTTTATCTATTTTCAGTTTTTGGATTGTGCAATTTTTCGATTTTTATTTTCTCGATTAATATTTTTTAATTTTTCAATTTTAAATATTTTAATTTTTCGTTTTTTGCTATTTTACTTCTCCCAAGTTTTAGATTTTAAGTTTTTCAGTTTTTCTAATTTCCATTTCTCGAATATTTTTGATTTTTCAATTTTTCATTTTTCGATTTTTTCCGATGTTTGAACTACTTCTCGATTTTTCAGTTAATATTCATTTTTTTTGGTTTTTCAATTTCTCAATTTTTCGATGTTCAATTTCTCAAATTTCACTACTTAAACTCTTCGATGTTTCTTTGTTACAATTTTTTAATTTCCAGTTATTCAATTTATCGATTTTCCGATTTTTGATTTAAGTATTTTTGTACTTTTACTTTCCCGAATTCAAATTTTTCGATTTTTAGTTTTTAAATATTTTAATTTTTCGGTGTTTTCCATTTTGAGATTTTTCGCCTAACAATCTGAATTTCCAATTTTTCAATTTATCGATTTTTTGATTTTCGAATTATTTTTCTACTTTTCAGTTTTTAAATATTTTAATATTTCGTTATTTCCAATTTTGAGATTTTTTGTCTTGCAATTTTAATTTTCGATTTTTCAATTTTTGTTCCTCAATTTTACGTTTTTGCAATTATTTGTTGTTTAACTAATCTAATAATTAAAGATTTTTACATTTTTCAATTTTTCGCTTTTATATTTCTCATTTTTTGTTTTTAATTTAAATTTTTTAATTTTTTCTACTTCGATTTTGGCTTTTTTATGTTTTTTTTGTTCGTACTTTTATGAGATTTTCAGTTCGAAATTTTTGAAATTTTCAGTATCACATTTTTTAATTTCGGAATTTTTCAGTTTTTCGTGCCTCCGATTTTTCAGGTTTTAGTTATTATAATTTTTCGTTTTCCAATGTTTTATTTTCTCTATTTTTAGTTTTTTGATCGTGTAATTTTTCGATTTTACTTCTCTCAATTTTTAGTTTTTCAGTTTTTCTATTTTCCATTTCTCGAATTCTTAATCTTTTTGATGTTTCAATTTTTCATTTTTTCGATTTTTTCCTATTCTTGAACTATTTCTCGATCTTTCAATTACTGTATAGTTTTAATTTTTTGGTTTTTCAAATTCTCAATTTTTCCATGTTCAATTTCTCGAATTTCACTCTTCGATCTTTCATTGTTACAATTTTCCTATTTCCAAATTTTCAATTTATCGATTTTTCGATTTTTGAATTAAGTATTATTGTAGTTTTACTTTCACGAATTCAAATTTTTCGATTTTAAGTTTTTAAATATTTTAATTTTCGTTGTTTTTCGTTTTAAGATTTTCCGTCTCTCAATCTTAATTTCCAATTTTTTAATTTATCTTCAATTTTACGTTTTTGTAGTTTTTTCTTGTTTATCTAATCCAATAATTAAAGATGTTTCCATTGGCCAATTTTTCGATTTTATATTTTTGATTTTTTGAGTTTTTAATCTAAAAATTTTCAGTTTTTCAACTTTAATTTTTATTTTTTTGTTTTTTTTATTCGTGCTTTTTAGATATTTTACCTTTTCGTTTTTTCGATGGTTCAGTTTCTCGATTTTTAATTGTTCTGTTCGGAATTTTTCGAATTCTCAGTATCAAATATTTCGATTTTGGAATTTTACAAATTTTCGTGTCTTAAATTTTTCGGTTTTTAAATATTATAATTTTTTGTTTTTTAGATGTTACAGTACCTCTATTGTTAGTTTTGGATTTTGCAGTCTTTCAATCTCACAATTTTGCATCGTTTGAGGTTTTTAGTTTTTCTTTTTCTCGACTTTTCATTTTCCCAGTTTTTAATTTTATGGTTTGTAAATTTTTCGATTTGCGATTTTTCGAGGTTTTAAGTGTAAATTTTTCACTTTTTCAACTTTGGATTTTATCAATTTTTGGATTTTCACTGTCAAGTCGGTGCCTTTGTCTGCTCTAATTCACTTTTTTTTAACTCACACATATTTAATCTTAACGTATATACTTGATTTGTAAATAATTAGAATAAAGAAGCTTTATTTTATGTTTAAAATACCTAGTGATTATTAATGTTTGTGATTTTTTTTGTCAGGTTGGCAGAATATTTAGAATTTGATGACGGCGTACCTGATTAGGAGCACTAATGTCAAAATTGACAACTGTGAATTGACATCCTAACATTGCTGCCAATAATCTAGAATTGCCAACCCAAAAATTTGCTTCAAGCATTAATAAATAAAAGAAAAACAAAGAAAATCTCTACAAATAATTTTTATTAACACCTTTATATCTTTACATAACTATTAATATAAAAAACATCAACCCAATCCATCACCTCCACCTTAATGATACTTCGATCCTCCCCTGTGCGCTTTGGCGCTCGAGGCCACAGCGTGAGCAGCGGCAGCGGCGTTGGCTTGCGCTTCATGCGCAGCGGCAGCGGCTTTCTCCGCCGCCCTTTCAGTCTCTTCTAAATCGGCGGCAGCCACATCCAGCTGCGCAGTCAATTGCGCAATTTGCTGCTTAGCGTCGGACACCATGGCGTGTTGAGACGCAGCGGCGCTCGCAGCGCCCGCTGCCGCTTGCGAAGCGTGCGCAGCAGTGGCCTGCGCAGCGGCCAACGCAGCACTCAGGGTGTTGACCTGCTGCTGCGCCTGCTGACTGGCTTCTTGCGCAGCGTTGGCGGCCTGTTGGGCGGAGTGGTCCTGGGCGATTTCGGCCTGGAGCTGCTGCTGGGCTGTTTGGACCTGGTGGTGGAGGTCCTGGACCAGAACCTGCTTGCCCACGACGGCGGCTTGGGCGGCGGCGGCGGCGTTCTGGGCGGCTTGAGCTAGGGAGGTCTTCACGCTGAAAGCGGCGTGGTGGCCTGCGGTGTGCTGGTTGTGGGCGGCGTTGTTGGCTTGCTGGGCGGAGGAATGGGCTAAGCTTGTGAGCTCGGCGGCGGAGGCGTAGCCGTGGGCGGGGGTGTGGTGGGAGTAGGAGTGGTGGGAAGGCTCGGGGACGGAGTCATCGAGGGAGGGGTAGGAGGAGGCGACAGCAACTGGAATTTCAATGATAACAATACTAGTAATAAGGGTGGGTTCATTTTTACTTACGAGTACAGGCAAGAGCGAAAAAGTGCAACATTTTTGGCAACCTGAAAGTCAAATTGGGTCAATATTTTTGAAAAATGGGTACAATTTGTACTCACTGTTTGGCTTTGGAGCTGTTTGCTTCGTTGAGGTCGGGTTGACACTGACTACACTCCTCCAACTATCACTATTTATACCAAAGTTGCCAATAATGTTCAAGAATATAAAAAGAAACTTATGTCGTATTTTTACTGGCACGTTTCAGGTTCGAGTTTGTGAACATTTTGTATGATAAAGCGCGTACTTACTTTCTTAGTGTTGCTTTAGTAAGTAAGTAATTGGTTTTTGGTTTTAAGGTGTCGTTTTTCGTGTTTAGGTTATCACGTTCGCTAAAAAGATATAGTTGCAAGTTTTATTAAACTGCAGTCCCGTTCAATCAAGTCGTGATCAGTGCAGCAGAATTTTGTGTTTTTTGAATATTTTTTGAGAGCTTTCTCTGTGTAGTTGTTGCGACGGAATTTTTTGTTAAGTTAATGGAAACGCTTCTTAGTGTAGAGCTTTTTAATTGAAAGTTAATTACATTGTCATCGAAACTATTAATTTTCAGGTAAGCGTATGAACAATCATTGCGACCTACATTACGATGCTGGTACTGAACATTTTGAAAGTTGTGGTAGGTTATGTGTTGACTTTTGAAGCATTTAAATTGAATTAAAGTTTTAAGTAACAAATTTTGAATGTCACTTTTTATGGATGATAATTGAGTCCATCGGGCGACTAGCCACTCTTATTTTTCTTGACGTTTCATGACCTTTAGAGTATGAAATGTTGTCAAATTTTGTATGTAAGTACATTAGGAATATTAGGACTATCGTGTAGATGGTAAAACGATTTCAAAATTTGGTTAACAAATAATGAACTTTTTAAAATTTTATGAAATAAGATACTTTTGTCTTTGTGATTTATGAATCGTATTGAGTTTTCAGACTAAACATCCAGATATTTGAAAAAAAAATCAAAATTGTATTTTGCATATTATTTTTAATTTTGAAACTGCAAAACGAAATGCTCTGAAATCTAGCAAACGTTTTAAGGTAATCGTAATCATGGTAAATCGTTAATCAAAATGTATTCGTTTATCCCCTCTCAAAAAAATGATGACGTCATTTCAAAATTTTGCCGAATAAATCGTCTCTGAAATATGCAAAATATTATGACTGTGGTTTATCACTAATAGGTTTTAGAATTATTTGTATAGGGTGACTTAAAAATATTAATAGATGAGGCCAAGTTATTTATTTTTATTTACCTTCAACTATTTTTTTGAAATCACATTTTTTTACTTCGATTTTACAATCCTTCATTAGCACAATTTTACGTTTCTTCAATTATTCGATTTGCAATTTCTCGATTTTGCTAACTTTTTTTCGATATTACAATTTTGTGTTATATTAATTTTTCAAGTTCATGATTTTAATTTTTCATTTTCCCAATTTTTTAATATCATTTTCTCGATTTTATATAATACAATTTTTCGCTTTTTCATTTCCTTTATTTCTTCGATGTTTCTTTTAAATTTACAATTTTTCATTTATTCAATTTTTCAAATTTTCAATCTATGATTTTTGGGTTCCTCGTTTTCTAAATTCGAAAATTTTTCAATTTTGCAATGTTTGGATTTTCAATTTTCCGATTTTCGATTTCTTTATTTTCAATATTAGGATTTTAAAATGCTTTTTCGATTTTGTAATGTTTTATTTAATTTTGTGTCTCAATGTTGAATCCTTCGATTTTTCAATTTTCGTTTCTTCAATTTTTCAAGTTCTTGATATCTGATTTTTAAAATTTTCGAAGTTTTCATTTTATACTTTTTCAATTCTTTTTATTCCAAAAATTGAAAAATTAAATATCGAAAAATGGAAAAATTCTAAATTCGTAAAATTGAAAAAGTGAAAAATGTTTTAAATTATTATCATTATTATTATTATAACTACATATGTAAAATGACAATTACAAAAATTGGAAATCAAAAATTGAAGAAACGAAAAACTGAAAACTCATGAAACTGAAACAACGAAAATTGAAAAAACAAAAAATCAAGAAGTTGAAAAATTGAAAAATTGAAAACCGAAAAAGTGCAAATTCAAAAATTCAAAATTTGAAAAATAATAAAATGATAAAATGAGAACACTGAGAAACCGAAAAATTGAAAAGATTAAGAAAATGAAGAGCCGAAACGAAAAGTTTCGAATCGAAAAATCGAAGACATGAAAAACTGGAAAATTGAAAAAGTAAAACTGAAAACTCCTGAAACTGGAAATCGAAAATTTGAAGAAATGAAAAACTAAAGAAACTAAATATTGAAAAATAAAAATTCAAAACTCGAGAAATTTTGAATCGAAAAATTGCTAAATCGAAAATTTGAAGCACAAGAAAAATGAGAAATTGAAAAATAACAAATCGAAAAACTGAAGAAACGAAAAACTGAAAAAAGTTTAAAATGAAAAAACAAATAATTATCAAATCGAAGCATTGAATAACCGAACAATGAAAAAATAAAGAAAATAAAAAAACAAAAGAAAAAATTGCAAATTGAAAAATCGAAGACATGAAAAATTGGAAAACTGGAAAACTAAAAATTGAAAACTCGTGAAACTGCAAATCGAAAAATTGGAAAATCTAAAACGTGGAACATTCAAAAGTTGGAAAATCTAAAAACTGAAAAATTTAAAAACGAAAACTGCATGGTTGCATATCGTAAAATTGAAGAAACAAAAACAGTGAAGAATTAAAAAATTGAAGAAACAAAAAAGTGAAAAATCAAAAAATTTCAAAAACAGAAAATAGAACACCGAAACGATTGGAGAAATGAAAAATGAAAGAATTTAAATATTGAAAAATTAAAATTTGAAAACTCGAGAAATTTTGAATCGAAAAATTGCTAAATCGAAAATTTGAAGCACAAGAAAAATGAGAAATTGAAAAATAACAAATCGAAAAATTGAAGAAACGAAAAATAAAAAAAATTCAAAATGAAAAAATAAATATCAATTCGAAACATTGAATAATCGAATGATCGAAAAAATAAAGAAAATAAAAAACCAAAAAGAAAAATTGAAAATTGAAAAATCGAAGACATAAAAAATTGGAAAACTGGAAAACTAAAAATTGAAAACTCGTAAACTGCAAATTGCAATTGGAAAATCTAAATAGTGGAACATTCAAAATTTAAAATATGAAAACTGCAGGGATGCATATCGTAAAATTAAAGAAACAAAAAAAAAGTGAAAAATTGAAAAATTGAAGAAACGAAAAAGTGAAAAAACAAAAAATTAAAAAATTGTAACATTGAAAAATCGAAAAATTTCAAACATGAAGAAAATAAGACACCGAAACGAAAAATTGCAAATCGAAAATTTGGAAAAATGAAAAATGAAAGAATTTAAATATTGAAAAATTAAAATTTGAAAACTAGAGAAATTTTAAATCGAAAAATTGCAAAATCCAAAATTTGACGAAACAAGAAAAATGAAAAATTGAAAAATTACAGATCGAAAAATTGAAGAAACGAAAAATAAAAAAAATTCAAAATGAAAAAATAAATATCAATTCGAAACATTGAATAATCGAATGATCGAAAAAATAAAGAAAATAAAAAACCAAAAAGAAAAATTGCAAATTGAAAAATCGAAGACATAAAAAATTGGAAAACTGGAAAACTAAAAATTGAAAACTCGTAAACTGCAAATTGCAATTGGAAAATCTAAATAGTGCAACATTCAAAATTTAAAATATAAAAACTGCAGGGATGCATATCGTAAAATTAAAGAAACAAAAAAAAGTGAAAAATTGAAAAATTGAAGAAACGAAAAAGTGAAAAAAGAAAAAATTAAAAAATTGTAACATTGAAAAATCGAAAAATTTCAAACAGAAAGAAAATAAAACACCGAAACGAAAATTGCAAATCGAAAATTTGGAAAAATGAAAAATTAAAGAATTTAAATATTGAAAAATTAAAATTTGAAAACTAGAGAAATTTTAAATCGAAAAACTGCAAAATACAAAATTTGACGAAACAAGAAAAATGAAAAATTCAAAAATTACAAATCGAAAAATTGAAGAAACGAAAAATAAAAAAAATTCAAAATGAAAAAATAAATATCAAATCGAAACATTGAATAATTGAATAATCGAAAAAATAAAGAAAATAAAACACCGAAACGAAAAATTGCAAATCGAAAAATCGAAGACTTGAAAAATTTGGAAAACTGAAAAATTAAAAATTGAAAACACGCGAAACTGCAAATCGAAAAATTGGGAAATCTAAAAGTGAAACATCCAAAAGTTCGAAAATCGAAAAACTGAAATATTTAAAAATGAAAACTCCAAGGTAAAACTGAAGAAACAAAAAAATGAAACATTGAAAAATCGAAAATCGAAAAATTGAAGAAACGAAAAATTGAAAAAACAAAAAATTTTAAAATCGGAACATTGAAAACCGGAAAAATTGCAAAAATAAGGAAAATAAAACACGGAAACGAAAAATTGCAAATCGTAAATTTCGAGAAATGAAAAATTAAAGAATGTAAATATTGAAAAATTAAAATTTGAAAAGTAGACAAATTTTAAATCGAAAAATTCCAAAATCCAAAATTTGAAGAAACAAAACAAATAAGAAACTGAAAAATCGCAGATCGAAAAACTGGAGAAACGAAAAATTTAAAATGGAAATCAAAAAATTAGCAAATCGAAATATTGAATAATCGAATAATCGAAACAATAAAGAAAATAAAAAATTGAAAAATTAAAATCGAAAAGTCGAGAAACTTAAATCGAAAAATTTAAAGATTTAAAATTTGGAAAATAGAAAAATTGAAAAATATAAACTTGAAAACTTAGAAAATTAAGTGGAAAAACTGAAGAAATAATTTTTTTAAAATAATTTTTCAATGAAACGGGATTTATTGGGCTGAATTTCATGGGCGAGAGAAGTTCTGTCGAAATAATTTTCGACCAATTTTTAAATGCCAAAACAGTTTGAATTTCAATGAAGTTAAATTTCCCAATTTTTTTAAAATAAAGTAAGGAAACAAGAGAATCCTGAATCTAACTAAGTACTTTAACGGGGTTATAAAATATATTCAAATTTTCTAAAATTTTAATTAAAGGTCTTTTGCAAATTTCTTCACGCTTCAGAAGTTTAAATTTTCACGTTAAAACAAACGACTCAATAAAAGTAACTTTTTATTTAAATCAGATTTCTACAATACTAGTCATATAAAATACATGAACCCACTCCATTAGCCCCACCCTAATGAAACTTCCCGTACCCCTTGGCGCTCGACGCCACAGCGTTCGCAGCGGCGGCGGCGTTCGCTTGCGCTGCGTGCGCAGCGGCCGCTGCCTTGTGCGCCGCCCCTTCAGTCTCCTGGAGATCGGCGACGGCGGCGTCCAACTGCGACGTCAACTGCGCAATGCGCTGCTTGGCGTCGGTGACCATGGCGTGCTGCGACGCAGCGGCGCCCGCCGCGCCAGCTGCCGCTTGCGACGCGTGCGCAGAGGTGGCCTGCGCAGCGGCCAGCGCAGCACTCAGGGTATTCACCTGCTGCTGCGCTTGCTGGCTGGCCTCCTGCGCGGCGTGGGCGGCTTGCTGGGCGGCGTTGTACTGGGCGATTTCGGCCTGGAGTTGCTGCTGGGCGTTCTGGACCTGGTGGTGGAGGTCCTGAACTAACACTTGCTTGCCGACGACGGCGGCCTGCGCCGTGGCGGCGGCGCCTTGGGCGGCTTGTGCTAGCGAGCTTTTCACGCCGAAAGCGGCTTGGTTGCCTGCCGTGTGTTGGCTCTGGGCGGCGCTGTTGGCTTGTTGGGCGGAGCTGTGGGCCAGGCTGGTGAGCTCGGCGGCCGATGCGTAGCCGTGGGCGGGGCCATGGTGGGAGTAGGAGGTGCCGTAGCCGGAACCGCCGCCTCCGAAGTGGTGCGAGTGGTCGGCGGATGAGTCGTCGTGGGAGGGATAGGAGAAGGCGACAGCGACTGGAAAGGTGCACAGTCACAATCGCGATAGTCGTGGTGATAATCTAATAAAGTGGTACTTACGAGAACAAGCGAGGGTGATGAAGCGCAACATGGCTGATAAGCTGAAAATTCGAATTACGGTTTTTGGTGATTTTGGGTTTGAATGTTGGTACTTACTGTTTATCTTCGGAGGTGTTTGCTTGGTTGAGGTCCGGCTGACACTGTCTGCACTCCCACGACTACGATTATTTATACCAAAGTTGCTAATAACGTTCTAAGAGTGTAAAAACGAGGCAATTATTGACAGCATGAATTTATTGTCACGCTTGAGGTTCGATTTTGTGGACATTCTGTATCACAGAGGCTCGTACTTTCTTCTTTTTGTTGCTGTAAGTGATTAATTGGTTTGATTTTATGGTGTTTTACCATTTTTACTACTATCACGTTCGCTAAAAAGACATACAAGTGTTACTAAAATGCAGTCCCGTTTACTCAAGTCGTGACCATGCACCGAAATTTTGCAATTTTCAAGAATTTTTTCCAGAACTTTCTCTATATTATTGTTGTAAGGTATTGTGGTGTTAAATTAAGACATTTTTTAATGTGGCGTTTTTGCGCAAACGATAATTAGTATTTTCAATAATTTTCAAAGCGAACTGACGCCGGCTTTTAGATATTTTAGAGGAATTTCTCACTTTATAAAAGTGGCAACTAGAAGCCACGGTAATGTAAATTCATTTTATTATTATTTTTATTATTATGATTGTAATAAGTTACATTTAAATATGCGAAATATAAGTAACACTTGTGATTTATCAGTGTATTAATATTTTTAAAATTTTGTATAGTATAGAGTGACTAAAAAAAATGAATGAAATAATTTCTATCTGAAGGTTAGTCTGAATAATGTAATAATGACGTTTCGTTATCGATATTAAGTTAGTGTTTTGTGACATTACGTTGGAACTATTTATTTTATCATCTTCTTTTTCGCCTTTTGGAGAAAATTTTCATTACTGTCATTATTTTTAAAAATCGATATTTGGATTACTTGTGAAAATTTCGAAATGCGGATTTCACCACTGTTTTCAGCTTACAGAACTTTAGACACCACCCAAGAAAGATTATCGACTTTTTTTTATCGGAAATGAGATACAGTAGAATCAGATTTTGTCCAAAAAAATGCTTTTACGGGACTTCATTTCCGACAAAAAAGTCAACAATGTTTAGATTTTTCAAAGTTTTTATTTTATACTTTTTCGTCTTTTAATTTTTGAATTTTCAATTTTACAGTTTTGCAATTTTTCCATTTTTTTTAATTTGAAAAGATGAAGATTCAAAAAATTGAAAAATCGAAAAACCAAAAAATCGGAAAAAATTGAAAAATCGAAAAACTGAAAAAAAAAACAGAAATTGCAAAATCGTAAAAGTGAAGACCTAACAACTGAAAATTGAAGAATTGAAGTAACGAAAAACTGAAACTTTGAAAACCAAAAATCGATGAACTTAAAAATCGAAAAAACTATTCAATCGAAAAATTGGAAAGAAGAAAAAACGATTCAAATCGAAAAATTAGAAATCCAAAAATTGTAAAATCAAAAAATTATCGTAAAATTGAAGAATAAAAATGAAAAATTTCATATTGAAAAAAGAAAAATTACAAAATCAGAAAACTGAAAAAAAAATGAAAAAACAAAGAAAATAAAAAGCTGAAACGAACAATTGCAAATTGAAAAATTGAAGAAGAGAAAAATTGGAAAATTTAAAAAATGCAAAATTAAAAATTGTAAACTCGTGAAACTAAATCGAAAAATTGCAAAAAATATAAACTGAAACATTCAAAAGAGGGAAAATCGGAATACTGAAAAATTTTGAAATGAAAACTCGAAGAGATGCATATCGATCACAAAATTGAAAAACCAAAAAAATGAAAATTTGACAAATTGCAAACGATAAATTGAAAAATCGAAAAATTTAATGAATGAAAAGTAGGAAAATAGAAAAACTGAAAAAATGTTCATCACTTTCATTATTTTTAAAAATCGATATTTGAATTACTTGTTAAAATTTCGGAAAGCGGATTTCGCCACTGTTTTCAGATTATAGAACTCTAGAGTCTAGACACTACCCAAGAAAGGTTATCGACTTTTTTTATCGGAAATGAGATACAGTAGAATCAACGACAAAAAAGTCGACAGTGCAGTGTTTAGATTTTTCAAAGTTTTCATTTTATACTTTTCCGTCTTGTAATTTTTGAATTTTCAATTTTACAGTTTTGCAATTTTTCCATTTTTTTTTAATTTGAAAAGAAGAATAAAAAATTGGAAAATCGAAAAACTAAATAATCGAAGAAATAGAAAAATTGAAAACCTGAAAAACACGAAAAATCGCGAATTCGAAAAAGTGAAAACCGAACAACTAAAAATTGAAGAACTGAAATAACGAAAAACTGAAACTTTGAAAACCAAAAATCAATGAACTTAAAAATCGAAAAAACTAATGAATCGAAAAATTGGAAAGAAGAAAAAACAAATCGATTCGAAGAATTACAAAATCCAAATATTGTAGAATCAAAAAATTACAAAAGCGTTAAAATTGTAAAGCCGAAAAACTAACATTTAAAGACCGAAAAATTGGAAAATTGAATAAATAAATATTTTAAATTCCAATATATGTAATTGAAAAATAAAAAATTTTAAAATCGTAAAATTGAAGAATAAAAATGAAAAATTTCATATGGAAAAAAGAAAAATTACAAAATCAGAACAGTGAAAACCCGAAAAAATGAAAAAACAAATAAAATAAAAAACTGAAACGAACAATTGCAAATCGAAAAATTGAAAAATCTAAATATGCAAAATTAAAAATTGTAAACTCGTGAAACTAAATCGGAAAATTACAAAATATAAAAACTGAAACATTCAAAAGAGGGAAAATCGGAAAACTGAAAAATTTTGAAATGAAAACTCGAAGAGATGCATATCTATCGCAAAATTAAAGAAACAAAAAACAGAAAAATTGAAAAATCGCAAACGAAAAATTGAGAAATCGAAAAAGTGAAAACCGAACAACTGAAAATGGAAGAACTCAAGGGACGGAAAACGGAAACTTTGAAAACCAAAAATCGATGTACTTAAAAATCCAAAAAAATTAATGAATCGAAAAATTGAAAAGAAGAAAAAACGAATCGAATCGAACAAATAGAAAATCCAAAAATCGTAAAATCAGAAAGAATATAGAATCGTTAAAATAGTAAAGTAGAAAAACTAGCATTTAAAGACCAAAAAATTAGAAAATTAATTATCACGAAATTAAAATTTAAAAATCGAAAAACTGAAAAATGAAAAATTACAAAATCAGAACAGTGAAAAACCAAAAAAGTAAAAGAAAACAAAGAAAATAAAAAACTGAAGCGAACAATTGCAAATCGAAAAATTGAAGAAGACAAAAATTGAAAAATCTAAAAAATGCAGAATTAAAAATTGTACACTCGTGAAACTAAATCGAAAAATTGCAAAATATAAAAACTGAAACATTCAAAAGAGGGAAAATCGGAAAACTAAAAAATTTTGAAATAAAAATTTGAAGAGATCATATCTATCGTAAAATTCAGGAAGCAAAAAAATGAAAAATTGAAAAATCGCGAACGAAAAATTGAAAAATCGAAAAATTCTAAAAACAAAAGGAAACAAAAACTAAAACGAAAAATTGCAAAATGAAAAATTTCAAAATCGAAAAAGTGAAAACCGAACAACTGAAAATTGAAGAATTGAAGTAACGGAAAACGGAAACTTTGAAAACCAAAACTCGATGGACTTAAAAATCCCAAAAACTATTGAATCGAAAAATTGGAAAGAAGAAAAAACGAATCGAATCGAACAAATAGAAAATCAAAAAATCTTAAAATCAGAAGGAATATAGAATCGTTAAAATAGTAAAGTCGAAAGACTATAGCATTTAAAGACCAAAAAATTAGAAAATTAAATATAGAGAAATTAAAATTTAAAAATCAAAAAATTGAAAAATGAAAAATTACAAAATCAGAACAGTGAAAAATGAAAAAAATAAAAAAAAAACAAAGAAAATAAAAAACTGAAACGAACAATTGCAAATCGAAAAATTGAAGAGAAAAATATAAAAATCTAAAAAATTCAAAATTAAAAATTGTAAATTCGTGAAACTAAATCTAAAAATTGCAAAATATAAAAACTGAAATATTCAAACGAGGGAAAATCGGAAAACTGAAAAAATTTGAAATGAAAACTCTATGAGATGGATATCTATCACAAAATTCAAGAAACAAAAAATGAAAACTTGAAAAATTGCAAACGAAAAATTGAAAAATCGAAAAATTGTAAAAACAAAGAAAACAAAAAACCGAAACGAAAAATTGCAAAATCGAAAAACTAAAAACCAAACAATTGAAAATTGAAGAACTGAAGTAACGGAAAACGGAAACTTTGAAAACCAAAACTCGATGGACTTAAAAATCCCAAAAACTAGTGAATCGAAAAATTGGAAAGAAGAAAAAACGAATCGAATCGAACAAATAGAAAATTCAAAAATCATAAAATCAGAAAGAATCGTTAAAATAGTAAAGTCGTAAGACTGTAGCATTTAAAGACCAAAAAATTATAAAATTAAATATCGAGAAATTAAAATTTAAAAATCGAAAAATTGAAAAATGAAAAATTTTAAAATCGTAAAATTGAAGAATCGAAACATGAAAAATTTCATATGGAAAACGAAAAATTACAAAATCAGAACAGTGATAAACCGAAAAAATGAAAAAACAAAGAAAATAAAAAACTGAAACGAACCGTTGCAAATCGAAAAATTGAAGAAGAGAAAAACTGAAAAATCTAAAAAATTCAAAATTAAAAATTTTAAATTCGTGAAACTAAATCGAAAAATTGCAAAAAATATAAACTGAAACATTCAAAAGAAGGAAAATCGGAATACTGAAAAATTTTGAAATGAAAACTCGAAGAGATGCATATCAATCACAAAATTCAAGAAACAAAAAAATGTAAACTTGAAAAATTGCAAACGAAAAACAGAAAAATCGAACAATTGTAAAAACAAAGAAAACAAAAAACCGAAACGAAAAATTGCAAACTGAAAAATCACTTTCATTATTTTTAAAAATCGATATTTGAATTACTTGTTAAAATTTCGGAAAGCGGATTTCGCCACTGTTTTTAGCTTATAGAACTCTGACACTACCCAAAAAGATTATCGACTTTTTTGTCCGAAATGAGACATGGTAGAGTGAGATTTTGCCACTTTCATATTTTCTCGACATGTAATGACCTCTATAACACGAAAAAAGTGATCCCCCGTTTCCGTCTGTCCGTCTATCTGGCGTGTGTCCATTAATATTATTAGACACGTATTCTCCGAAACTACCGAACCGATTGCTCTCTAATTTTGTACCTATGCTAGCAATATCATGTGGATGATCAAACGCTAACTAAAATTTAGTTAATCATCCCTACCACCAATGGAATGACGCCATCTCAAAATTTTGCCAAATATTTTATTAAGAAAAAGAAATGTGTGGACAAGTTATTCTTATTTAAAATTTCATAACAATAAAATTGTTTATAATGGAGATATTACTTTCCGAAAATATTTTCAACAACCCACAATAGAAAAATAGGGACTTATCTCAACACTGATGAAAAATTAGTTGGTAGAATAGTTGACGATTTCGGCCAAGAAAAAATATAGAGATTTATAATTTTATAATAGTAGGAGGACCGTGAACATTACTGGACAAAAAATCAACTTTCGAAAAATACAGTTTTTTGCCGGCAGAAATTTAACATTTCCATTTATCCATTTATCTTCTAGATTCTACATTTTCCGTGTTCTTTTGATTTAAAGAAATAAATGTTAAAATTTAATTCAAAGTTTGGCAATTAATTTACCAGACAATCAAATGAAGCGGCACATTAATGGATTAATTTCATAGCCCACTAGACGTAAAATATTTATTATTATTATTATTATTAGTTTTGCGTTCGGGCAGAGGCCTAGCCTGTTATGCCCGCGCTACCTAGCTACCTAACTAACAAACGAATCCAATTAATTTTATCCATTATAATTATCAAATTTAATTTTGAAATTTGTCACTGTATCAGCTTCAACAATACTGGCTGGTCTAGTAGCACCCTAGATGTGTACAAGTAGAAAGTATATTAAAAAATTCAAGGCTGGCTCTCCCTGAAAAAAGTTTGTATGGGCGCGCATATACCTACTCTAATCGAGTCCATCGGACGACTGGTTACTTTCATGTTTTCTCGACGTTTCATGATCTTTAGAGTACGAAAAATAGGTCTGCCGTTTCCGTTCGTCTGTCTGTTTGTCCGTCAGCCTGTCTGCTGTCTATCCGGATTTTTATTATACAGATCAGTTTTATAATTTTTCAAAGAAGCAGGATTTGTAGGACTATACTTCACAATTTTTTTTCCTTACTTTGGTGGTATTTGGCACTAAATTAATATGCAAACATGTCTGAGCACAGTTTATCTTCTTTCCTGCAAACCGGTCTGGTTCGATGCACCGGCAAAACGGAGTATATGATGATCCTACCTTTTAGTAGTTGTCTTTGACTCGTGGCTGCATGAAATCAGTTACATTATTGTCGTTTTCAAATTTTTTGGGATAAAACTATAAGTGACAAAAGTAATTAAGACTACACGGATATTCTTCGTCATTTAAGTACATTTAATTGTCTCAAATTTTAGAATGTTTATCCTTCAATCAATAGGGTAAGTACCTGTACATAATCAAAATCAGCCCTAATAACACAACATACAATTTTCAGTTTTTGGTTTCTGCTGACCTCACTATGTATCAAATTCGTAACACCATCAGTCCCCACTGGACAATACTTCGTCCTCAAAAATCCTCACTCAGGATATGTCCTAGACGCTAGTCAGGAATGGGTGACCCTTCAACAGTTCACAGGGTTCACCACACAACACTGGAGACTCGAAGCTGCCACAGGTGGCCAGTTTTACATAGTTAATAAATTCCAAGGGTAAACGTTAAGAAGTTGTCACAAACGTGTTTTCATTTTTTTAATTTTTTTTTACAGAAAAGTTCTGGATCTTGATTACAGATATCCGATTAAAAATAGTTGGGTTGTGGTGAGCAACAAAATTGATGATTGCAAAAACGAATGTTCTCCAATAAATATGAAAACGAAGGCGTCCATGAATATAGGGGCTTGTCAGAAGTGGTACGTGCATTACGGGGGCTTTATCGTTAATTCCTGTGGAAAATATGCTGTAGAAATCAGAAAAGACAATTACACGGCAGGTGTGTATTTGGAAACTTGGGATTTAAGTGAAAAGGACAACCAGAAGTTCACTTTCTTATATGTATGAAGTTTTCGTTTATTTAAATTTCTGCTCACAGAAATGCTCTACTTATTTTGCTTTTATCTACTACTTAATTCTCAAAAAAAAAAAAAAAACGAAAAAGGTATCAATAAGCGTAATCTAGTATTTACTCAAAGACAGGTTAACTGGATTAATTTGTGTTGTGGGATGTAATTTTCTTAGAATATTTGTCTGTTGTGTGCAATATAAATAAACATAAAAATTATCAGTCTAAAGTTATTCACACAAAACCTTAATGTCTCCGAGGCACTAACATATCGGTAATAGTTACGCTTGAGAGGCGAGGGAAGTTTAGGTAAATAACTTCCACTATTTTTTGAGTTTTTAATCATAGCTAAGTGGTCAAATGTGGTCTAAGGTCACTTCCAAAAAAGAGCTTTTATTTAATTATATTGAACAAATTCTTGCAAGCTCCAAATTTTCTACGTATAAGTACTAAGTGGACCAATCAGAAAAAACATTGCAAGCATGCGCACTGTTATGTTGCAAATGTACCATGTATTGCTGGTTGCATGGGGTGGTAAAATTGGCTTCAATGAAAGTTTGTAATTAATCACATACCTGTATTAGCAGGGTTTTTAGACCTGTTACATTTATTTAATTATTATTTATAATATAATAAAATAAAGTAAGCATAAATAAGGCTAAATTCTAGGTTAGGTAACAACTTGACAGATAATGTGTTCGGTGCTCGCAACAGAGCTGTCAAACGCCTCGTTTTTGGTTAGGGAGGGAAGCGCAACATTTCGATTGGTTAAGTATAGTTTCTTAAGTTTTAATTCTTAATATAATAATTTCATAATTGGTTGGAAACAAATCTTAAAAGTACTAGGTATATTTGTACTGTCAAGTCGTTTTAGTTTCATTTTGATATTTAAGTCGACCTAAAATATTCGTAAAAATCCGAAATAGGTCGCCGTAAATGGTTTATTAGGGGGCAATTAGTGGGGTAAATAAACACTCCGAAAAACTGAAAAATCAAAAGTTCAAAAATCGAAGAAATAGAAAAATCTTCCGAAAAGTCATTGAAAAATCGAAAAATCGAGAACTCGTGAAATCAGAAAATCGGACAATAAAAAAAATGAAAATTCGAAAAACGAAAATCAAAGAGTAAAAAACTGAAGAATGGAGAAATTGAAAAACCGAAGTCAAAAAATCAAAAATCGTAAAATTGAAAATTTGAAAAATCGAGAAATCGAGAAGGAGGCAACTCGAAAATTCAGATATCAAAAATTTAAAAATTCGATGAATTTTTAAAACCGAAAATTAGAAAACTGAGATTTCGAAAAATCGAATAGCCGGAAAATTGAAAAATGGAGAAATCGAAATTTAAAAAATTGAAAATCCGACTGTCAAAGGATCGACAATTCGAAAAATGGCAAAAATCGAAAATCTGAAATTTTGAAAATTAGAAATACGAAAAATCGTAAATTCGAAATATCGGAAAATTGAAAGTCGAAAAGTAGAAATTGCAATGAATTAAATATGTAAAAAATCTAAAATTGGAACAGCGAACATTCAAAAAATCGAAAAGTCGAAAAATTGCTTGAAAAAGCGAAAAGTAAAAAATCCTAATTTCGATAAATGGCCGAAAACTCGAAAATCAAAAAACCGAAAGTTAGAAAATCGGAAATTCCAAAAATCGACAATGAAACAAAAAGTCGAAAGTAGGAAAAAATCCAAATTTCGATGGAACAAATATTTGAGAAATTAAAAAACGAAAAAGCTAAAATTCGAAAAATCGAAAAGTCAACTACTGAAATTTCGAGAAATTGGAAACGTGGAAGTAAAGAATCGAAAATTCGAATTTCGAGAAATGAACAAATCGAAAATTAAAAATTCCGAAAATTCAATGAGTCAAATACCCGGAAGACCAAAAATTGAAAAAATGAAAAATCGGAAAGTCGGTAAGTTGAGAAATCGAGAAATTGAAAACATTGAAAATTCGAATTTCGAAAAATGTATAAGTCAAAAATTCGGATCGAAAAATCAACAAGTGAGAAAACGAAAAATCGGAAATTCGAAATGTGTCGAAAATTCAAAATATCGAAAAATCGAAAGTGGAAAAGTCGAATATTCGATGAATCAAACTGAAAAATTGCAAATTCGAAAAATGGAGAAATAGAAAACCTGAAATTTCGAAAGTTGACAATTTGAAGAATCGCAAATTTGAAATATGGAATAAACTAAAGTCGAAAAATCGAAAATTGAGGAAACGAAACTTTCTTAAATTTGAAATATCGAAAATACGATGAATTAAATAGAAAAAGTCTGAAAAATTGTAGAAGCGAAAATTAAAAAAATTGAAAATTCGAATTTCGAAAAATGATCAAAACGAAAATTGAAAACCTGAAAATCAAAAAATCGAAAGTTGGAAATTCGGAAATTCTAAAAATCGAAAAATCGACAAATCGAAAATCGAAGAAACAATAAGTTGAGAAAAGGAAATTGAGTGTTCTAAAATTCGAAAAGTAGAAATATCGAAAATCGAAAAACTGAAAATCGTAAATTCAAAAATCGAAAAATTAAAAATTTGAAAATCTGATAAATTGAAGAATTGAAAAATCGAGAAATCCAAAAAGAAGCAAATCAAAAATTCAAATATCAAAAACTTGAAAATTCGATTAACCAAATATTTGAAAAATAAAAAATCCGAAAAGTCTAAAAACCGAGAAATCAAAAATTAGAAAATAGAGACTTCGAAAAATCGAAAAATCTACGAATTGAAATATACAAAAAACGAAATTTCGAAAGTCGAAACGTCGAAAAATTGAACATTCCATATCCAAAGTTGAAAATTCGAAAAATGGAACAAACGAAAACTTGAAATTTCGAAAGTTAGCAATTTGAGAAATCCCAAATTCGAAATATGGAAAAAACCAAAATCGAAAAATCGAAAGTTGAAAAATCGAAATTTCGATGAATCAAACAGCAAAATCGAAAATTGAAAAAACGGAAATTCGAAAAAGCGGAAAGTCGAAAAATTGAAAAACTGAGAAATTGTAAAAGCGAAAATGACTAAATCGAAAATCGAAAACTCGAAAATCAAAACACCGAAAGTCTGAAAATGGGAAATTCCAAAAATTGAAAAATCGAAAATCTAAAATTTCGAAAGTTGGCAATTTGACAAGTCGAAAAATCGATTGTTGAAACATCGAATCTTCGATGAATCAAACAGAAAAAACGGAGATTGTAAAAACGAAAATTCGGAAATTTGAAATATCGAAATATGAATCAAATAGAAAAAAACTGAGAAATTGTAAAAGCGGAAATTAAAAAAATTGAAAATTCGAATTTTGAAAAATGACCAAATCGAAAATTGAAGACCTGAAAATCAAAAAACCGAAAGTAGGAAAATCGGAAATTCTAAAAATCGAAAAATCGACAAATCGAAAATCGAAGAAACAAAAAGTTGAGAAAAGGAAATTGAGTGTTCTAAAATTCGAAAAGTAGAAATATCGAAAATCGAAAAACTGAAAATCGTAAATTCAAAAATTGAAAATTTGAGAAACTGAGAAATTGAAAAATTGAAAAATCGAGAAATCGAAACGGAAACAAATCGAAAATTCAAATATCAAAAACTTGAAAATTCGATTAACCAAAAATCTAAAAAATTAAAAATCCGAAAAGTCTAAAAACCGAAAAATAAAAAATTAGAAAATAGAGACTTCGAAAAATCGAAAAATCTACGAATTGAAGTATACAAAAAATGAAATTTCGAAAGTCGAAACGTCGAAAAATTGAACATTCCATATCCAAAGTTGAAAATTCGAAAAATGGAACAAACGAAAACTTGAAATTTCGAAAGTTGACAATTTGAGAAATCGCAAATTCGAAATATGGAAAAAACCAAAGTCGAAAAATCGAAAGTTGAAAAATCGAAATTTCGATGAATCAAACAGTAAAATCGAAAATTAAAAAAATGGAAATTCGAAAAAGCGGAAAGTCGAAAAATTGAAAAACGGAGAAATTGTAAAAGCGAAAATGACTAAATCGAAAATCGAAAACTCGAAAATCAAAACACCGAAAGTCTGAAAATGGGAAATTCCAAAAATTGAAAAATCGAAAATCTAAAATTTCGAAAGTTGGCAATTTGACAAGTCGAAAAATCGATTGTTGAAACATCGAATCTTTGATGAATCAAACAAAAAAATCGGAGATTGTAAAAACGAAAATTCGGAAATTTGAAATATCGAAATATGAATCAAATAGAAAAAAATTGAGAAATTGTAAAAGCGGAAATTAAAAAAATTGAAAATTCGAATTTTGAAAAATGACCAAATAGAAAATTGAAAACCTGAAAATCAAAAAACCGAAAGTTGGAAAATCGGAAATTCCAAAAATCCAAAAATCGACAAATCCAAAAACCGAAGAAAGAAAAAGTTAAGAAAAGGAAATCGAGTATTCTAAAATTCCAAAAGTAGAAATATCGAAAATCGAAAAACCGAAAATCGTAAATTCAAAAATCGAAAAATTGAAAATTTGAAAAACTGAGAAATTGAAGAATTGAAAAATCGAGAAATCGAAAAGGAAGCAAATCGAATATTCGAATATCAAAAAATTGAAAATTCGATGAATCAAACATTTGAAACATCAAATCCGAGTAGTTTAAAAACCGAAAAATCAAAAACTAGAAAACTAAGACTTGGAAAAATCGAAAAATCCAAGGATTGAAACATACAAAAAATAAAATTTTGAAAGTCGAAACGTGAAAAAATTGGACATTCGAATATCGAAAGATCGAAAATTCGAAAAATAGAAAATCTGTAATTTTAAAAATTAGGACCCCAAAAAGTAGTAAATTGGAAATTTCGAAAAATTGAAAGTCGAAATTTCGTTGAATTAAAATATTTGAAAAATCAAAAATTGAAAAGCTGAAATTCGAAAAATCAAAAAGTCCATAGGAAGTTTGAAATATGTATCGAAACTTGGAAAAGTGGAAAAATCGAATACCTGAAATTTCGAAAGTTGGAAATTTGAAAAATCGCAAATTCGAAATATCTTAAAATCGAAAGTCCAAAAATCGAAAGTTGAAACATCGAAATTTCGATGAATGAAATATTCGAAAAATCAAAAATTGAAAATCGAAATTTCGAAAAATCGAAAAGTAAAAAATTGAAAAATCAAAAAATTCAAAAAGCAAAAAGTAAAGTCGAGAAATGAAAAAATCGAACAATAAAAAAAGTGAAAACTAGAAAAACGGAATAATGGGAAAATTGAAAATCGAAAAGTAAAAACTGAAGATTGGAAAAATTTTAAAATCGAACATTCAAACAATCAAAAATCGAAAAATTGGAAATTTAAAATGCTGCGAAATTGAAAAATTGTAAAATCGAGAAATTAAAAGGGAAACAAATCGAAAATTCGTATATGAAAAAACTGAAGATCCGATTAATCAAATATTCGAAAAGACGAAAATCAGAAAAATCTAAAAATCGAGAAATTGAAGAAGCAAAAATAAAAAATTGAAAATTAGAATTTCAAGAAATGAACAAATCGAAAATGTGGAATATGGAAAAATCGAAAATCGAGAAACCGAAAATTCGATGAATCAAATATGTATTTGAAAAATCAAAAGTGAGAAAACGAAAACTCGGAAATTTGAAATATGTATCAAAAATTCGAAATATCGAAAAATCGAAAGTAAACAAAACCAAAATTCGATGAATTAAAAGTTCGAGAAATCGATAATTGAAAAAACGAGAAATAGAAAATTTGAAACATCGAAAATTCCATAAATCAAACAAAAAAAAACGAAAATTGTAAAAACGAAAATTCGGAAATAGGATGAACCAAATAAAAAAATCGAAAATCGAAAAAATGGGAATTCGAAAGATCGGAAAGTTGAAAAGTTGAAAATTCGAATTTCGAAAATCAAAAATCCGAAAACTGGAAAATAGTAATTTCCAAAAATGGAAAAATCGACAAACGAAAAACAAAATGTAGAGAATAGGAAATTGATAGATCTAAAATTCGAAAAAAAAGTGAAAAATCCTTCAAAACCCTAAAGCGTTCATGATTTCAGAGTGTAAAATTTCGCCAAAATTATAAAACGGCGTAAATATTTTTTGGGAATAGTATAAATGAAGTAGTTTTGATTAACGATTTACCTTATATTTAAAACCTTAAAACTTTTGCAAGATTTCAGATCACTCGGTGTCACAGTTTCAAAATAAAATTGGAAAATATCGAAATATTTAGAATTTTGTTTTTTTCCAAAAATCTGAATGTCTAGGGTCAAAATATCAAACACGGATTCATAAACCACAAGTGCAAAAACAAAAACTGTGCGCATTTCGAACAGTGTAGTATTGTAACAACACTAATTGAACATCAGTAAGTATTGTCAGCTGGCACTCAGGAAAATCGACGACAAATATGCACCTGCAATTTATTTTACATCATTAGCGTTCCTAATAATTGAGACAGGTTTCGCTGCACCGCTAGTTAATAAAGAAAGTAAAAACCAAAAAATACAAAACTTTGTTTGCAGTTACTCGTAAAACACGAAATGTTTACAACCGCCGAAGCGTAATTCTATTTTTACTTTCATACTTTTTTAAAGCTTATTTACAGTAAAAGTGGTGTTTATTAGTACTCTTACAACGTACTTAATTACATTACACCCTAATAAACAATCTATAACTTTAATTACCTTAACATCGTCACATATTGACTAAATTCATACGAAAACTAGACAAAACGACTAACAATAACAAATTATTTGCGAACAGGCGTGACACAAAGAAAATAACTAGCTCAGTCACGCCTTAATAATGCTTTTGTAGGGAAACTACCAATTAATAACGAGAATAAAATGGTAATATTAGTGAGAGCAGGAACCGGTGAGCACTTCCATAGCACGATAAGTGTTATAAAGTCGTGATTATGACATATAAAACACCCATTCACAGTTTAAACATCAGATCTCTTTATTTGTAACACCAAATATAGTAGCAAAGACCTGACTATAAAATGTAAATGAGAAGTAATAATCCGTGACGAAATTAAATAGCACGCTTGTCATACTAAGTATACATTTTCAATAAACCCCCATACCACAGGAAGCTCTTCCAATTAATGTTATGCATTTAATGATAGCCACCTTTCTCCTCTCTCGTTATAAAATTCTGCATTCTCGCCCCTTTATTCACCGACAATCTATACTAATTATCATAATTAACCAACAATTCAATGAAAACCAGTACCAAAACTAATCCAACCATCAGAATTCAAGTCTTCATTCTTGCACGTATTATTCTTCACAAATTCCAAAATTCTCTGAATCGTGTCGGCTTGACTTTGCGATTCTTCAGCCGCCTTGGAAAAAGTAGCTTCCACGTCTTTCAAATATTCGTATTGTTCGATTTCCGCTTCTAACACTTGTTCCGCTTCTTTCAACCTCTCCTGAAGAGCCAAAATGTGCAGTTTTTTCCCGGTGACGGCGGCCCGAGCCGCTGCAGCTGCCTAAAATTTTCCAAAATTACAAAACAATTTTGACTTTTGTGTTCATTGTACGGTCAGAGCGGTTTGGGCCAAATCGTTCTTAATGGTGAAGGCGGCATGGTTGGCGGCCACCTGCTGGTTAACGACGAGATTCTGGGCATGCAGGGCCGAACTCTGGGCTAAACTGCCCAGTTTTGCCGCCTCGATGAACGGGTTCTTGGTGGTGCGCACTTGAGCTGAAACATTGTATGCTACTTCTGGTGTCATTTATTTCGAACTCACCTGCACATCCTAATAGCACTATCAAAGCCTCCAGCAGCATTCCCAGATCTTTATTACTGTATCCACTTTTCCGCTTCATGTTTATTTAAGTGTGTGGAGGTTTAAAAATCGCGAAGAAACTTCCAGAAGTGAGCTGGGCGGAACGAGTGGAACGAATGGAGTGATTAAAACGGTGATGGTCACATTATAAACTTGCACTTGTTTGCAGATGGCGGATGGGTATGAAATCGTATTATCTACTCGACATGGGTGCATTAGAAAGTGACGATTCGTTTTATTCTTGCTGGGTTTTGTATTATGTGTGGTTTGGTTTTTGATCGGTCGTTAGACTCGATCGAGCGTGAAAATGTTGTTTGACGAGGTATGGGTTTTTGGAGGCAAGAAATGGCTAAGTGGTTGTTAGGTGGAGGAAGATAAGTAACTGGTGCAAGCGCTGAAGAAGTGAGATGATTTATGGCGGCTTGTCGGCAGGATGTCGGGTTTAATTTGGTTTAGTGAGGCGGTTTCATGTTGCACTAATTAATGAGGATGTTGCAGAATGGTAAATGAGAATAATGAAGTTGGTGGAGTTTTTATAACTTTTATTTCCTATATGAAATCATCAATGAATAAGAATTTATGCTTCAGAAAGTTTGTGAAGAGGCTAAAATTTTGACGATGAGAAAAAATTTGCTATTGGCGAGGTACCAAAATGGATATTTTAATGTTCCACTTAGAGTCTCACTATCAACACTTTCCTAAAATTTTTCTATTTTTTAGCAGGGTGTTGGTGGTTTATACAATTTTTGAGATGTCTTGTCTAAATAAATATAAAAAATTAGTGCGGACAATATGAAATCTACTTAAATCAGACAACCAACTAGAAAAAATGCTTTTCGAAAAATTGATAAATTGAGTAATAGAAAAATCAAAATTTTTAAAAATCGGAAGATTGAAAAACCGAAAAATAGAAATCCGAAAAGCGAAAAATTGAAAGATCTAGCACTCGAGACATTAACGAAAAATTAAAATATCGAAAAACTGAGAAATTTTCCAAAATTGAAATGTTGAAAAGCTGAGAAATCCAAAAGGTGAAAAAACGAGAAATATAAAAATCGAACAACCGGGATGTCAAGAAATCGAAAAATCGAGACATCACAACATCTAAAAATCAAAAATCTGAAATTTAAAAATTTGAACCATCGAAAAATAGAAATATCGAACAACTTTTAAAAACTGGAAAATTATAATATTGAAAAACTGAAGAATCGGAAAATCGATCCATCAAAAAATTGGAAATTAAAAAATCTAAAATTTAAAAATTGAAATATTGAAAAAATCCCAAAACTGGAATACCGAAAAACTGGAAAATCGAAGAAAAATTAGAGAACCGAAAAATTGAAAAATCTCGAAACAGAAACACGGATAAATTGAGATCTCGAAAAATTGAAAAATCGAGAAATCGAAAGGTAGAAAATTAAAAAACCAAAAGTTGGAAAACTGGAAATTCCAAACATCCAAAAATCGACAAATCCAAAAACCGAAGAAACATAAAGTTGAGAAAAGGAAATCGAGTGTTCTAAAATTCGAAAAGTAGAAATATGGAAAATCGAAAAACCGAAAATCGTAAATTCAAAAATTGAAAAATTGAAAATTAGAAAAACTAAGAAATTGAAAAATTGAAAAATCAAGAAATCGAAAAGGAAGCAAATCGAAAATTCGAATATAAAAAAATTGAATATTTGAAAAATCACAAATCCGAGAAGTCTAAAAACCGAAAAATCAAAAATTAAAAAACTCAGACTTCGAAAAATCGAAAAATCTAAGAATTGAGACATACAAAAAAAGAAATTTCAAAAAATTGAACATTCGAATATCGAAAGATCGAAAATTCGAAAAATAGAAAAACGGAAAAATTGAAATTTTGAAAATTAGAAATTCGAAAAATAGTAAATTCGAAATATCGAAAAGTCGAAAGTCGGGAAACCGAAAATTCGATGAATCAGATGTTCGAAAAATTAAAAAGTCCATAGGAAGTTTGAAGTATGAATCGAAACTTGGAAAAATGGAAAAATCGGATATTTTTTTGAATGAAATATTCGAAAAATCAAAAATTGAAGAATCGAAATTTCGAAAAATCGGAAAGTAAAAAATTGAAAAATCGAAAAATTCAAAAAGCGGAAAGTAAAAAAAAATGAAAACTCGAAATATCGAAAGTCGAGAAATCAAAAAATCGAACAATGAAAAAATTGAAAATTCGAAAAACGAATAATGGGAAAATTGAAAATCGAAAAGTAAAAACTGAAGATTGGAAAAATTTAAAAATCGAACATTCAAATAATTAAAAATCGAAAAATTGGAAATTCGAATGACTGAGAAATTGAAAAATTGTAAAATCGAGAAATCCAAAAGTAAACAAATCGAAAATTCGTGTGGGAAAAAACTGAAAATTCGATTAAGTCAATATTCGAAAAGACGAAAATCAGAAAAATCTAAAAATCGAGAAATTGGAGAAGCAAAAACTAATTTAGAATTTCGAGAAATGAACAAATCGAAAGTGTGGAATACGGAAAAATCGAAAATCGAGAAACCGAAAATTCGATCAATCAAATGTGTATTCGAAAAATCAAAAAGTGAGAAAACGAAACAATCGGAAATTTGAAATATGTATCGAAAAATCGAAAGTAAAAAAAGCAGACAACCAACGAGAAAAAATGCTTTTCGAAAAATTGATAAATTGAGTAACCGAAAAATCAAAATTTTTAAAAATCGGAAGATTGAAGAACCGAAAAATAGAAAACCGAAAATCGAAAAATCGAAAGACTCGAGACATTAACAAAAAATTAAAATATCGAAAAACTGAGAAATTTTCCAAAATTGAAATGTTGAAAGGTTGAAAAATCGAAAAATCTAAAAATCGAAAAACCGGGATGTCAAGAAATCGAAAAATCGAGAAATCGGAACATCTAAAAACCAAAAATCTGAAATTTAAAATTTTGAACCATCCAAGAATAGAAATATCGAAGATCTGGAGAACTGGAAAATTAAAATATTGGAAAATTGAAGAATAGGAAAATCGATTCATCAAAAAATCGGAAAATCGAAAAATCTAAAAGTTAAAAATTGAAATATTGAAAAAATCCCAAAATTGAAATATCGAAAGACTGGAAAATCGAAGAAAAATTAAAGAACCGAAAAATTGAAAAAGCTCGAAACAGAAACATCGATAAATTGAGATCTCGAAAAATTGAAAAATCGAGAAATCGAAAGTTCGAAAATCGAAAATTTAAAAAATTGAAAAACTGCAATAACCAAAAACACGCAAAATTGAAGAATTGAAAAACTAAAATATCGATACATCCAGAAATTGAGAAATCGTAAATTTGAAAATTTTGAAACGTCAAAAATTGAACAATTGATAAATCGAAAAATTGAAAAATCGTAAAACTGAAAAAAACGGGAAATTGACAAACTGAAATATCGAGAAACAAAACAACGAAAGATCGAGAAATCGGAGAGGAAAAATTGAAAAATTAAAAAATTGAAAAAAAAATCTCAAACTGAAAAATCAAAAAATTAAAACAATCGAAAAATCGAAACATGGAAATGTCTATAAATCGAGTAATCGAAAAATTGAAAAATCGAAAAATGTAAAAACTGAAATATCAGAAATTTGAAAAAATGGAAAATTGGAGAACCGAAAAATCTGAAACAGAAAGATTAAGAAATCTGAGCAACAAAAAACTGGAAAATCTGAAAATTAAAAATTTAAAACATTGAACATTAGAAATATCGTTGAACTTAAAAATAGAAATCAAAAAATCTCAACTTTTAAAATTTGAACAATTAAAATATCGAAAAACTGAAGTTTCGAAAAATTGAAAAATCGAGAAATAGAATCACCAAAATATCGAAAAATTAAAAAATCTAAAATTTGAATACTGAAATATTAAAAAAATCCCAAAACTGAAATATTGAAAAATCGAAAAATTTAAAAATCTCAAAACAGAAATGTAAAAATTGAGAAATCGAAAAGTAGAAAAATTGAAGTCAGAAAATCGAAGATTTAAAAAATTGAAAATCTGAAAAATTAAAAACTTGAAAAATCGATAAAATTGAAGAATTGGAAAACTAAAAAAATCGATTAATCGAGGAATTGAGAAACCGAAAAATCCAACAATTAGAAACGTCAAAAATTGAAAAATTAATAAATCGAAAAATTGGAAAACCGAAAAATTGAAAAATCGTAAAACTGTAGTTTCTCCGAAAATTGACAAACTGAAATATTGAGAAACAACACATCAAAAGAGCGAGTAATCAAAAAGTCGAAAAATTGAAAAATCGAAATTGCCGAAAATCGAAAAATCGCAAAGCTAAAAATCGGAAAATATTGAAAAATTCAAATTTTAGAATAAACGTCAAATCGAAAAATCAAAACAATGGAAAAATCGATACATCGAAATCTTGAAAAATTGAAAAATCGGAAAATTTAATATCCAAAAAATCAGCAATTGTCAAAAATCGGAAAATCGGAAAACCGAAAAATCTAACACAGAAATCGAAAAATCGAAAGATCAAGAAATCGGAACATCAGAAACCGAAAAATGTGAAATTTAAACCTTTTAAACATTAAAAATTAGAAATTTGAAGAACTAAAAATAGAAATTGAAAGTTCTAAAATTTAAAAAATTGAAATTTCGAATAGGTGAAGAATCGAAAAGTTGAAAAATCGAGAAATCAAAACATCAAAAAATCAAAAACTTTAAAAATTGAAGAATCGAAAATTGGAGAATCAAACAACTGAAAAGAGAAAGTGAAAAAATCCAAAATTGCAATAACGAAAAATCTGTAAATCGAAAACTCATAAACTGAGAAATTGAAAAATCAGAATATCGAAAAATTGTAAAACTCAAGTTTCGGGGAACGAAACATCAAAAGATGGAGAAACCAAAACATCGAAAATTTTGAGAAGTTGAAAAATCCAAATAAGTCAAAAATTGAAATTTGAGAAATTAAAAAAAAATCGAAATACTTATTTATTGAAAAATTGAAAAATCACAGAAAAATTGAAAAATCAAAAAATTGTGAAATCCCAAAACAGTAAATTGAAAAATCGAAAAATTGACGAAACTTCGAAAATTAAAAAAATTGAAAAATCAAAAAAAACAAAAAGCTGAAAATTGAAAAGTCGAAAATTTGAAAAATTGTATAATTGAAGCACTGAAAAACTCGGAAAATTGAAAAATCAAATATTTGATGAATGGAGAAATTTGAAAAAAAAAAACTAAAAATTCCAAAACTGAAATATCGAAAAATTGAGGAATTGAAAGTTGAAAAATCGGAAAAACGAGAACTCGAAAAATTGAGCAGTTGAAAACATGTTATATATCTACAATTTTGATTTTTTTCTACAAGTCTCTCTGTCTAGGATACAAATTCAACAAGGATTTATCAACCACAATTTCAGGACTACGTTAATTTTTGACATTCAAATAACATTTATTTGACAAAATTGTAAGATGACATCATCAATTCCTGAGGAGGGGGCATGGATGGATAAATTTTAATTCATAAGTAATCATGCTTCCCATAACGGGAATACGTTTGGAAGATTTAAAAATTAAGTTGCAAAATGTTACAAACATCTAGATGGCTACGGTAAAAACTCAACACGGATTCATAAACCACAAATGGAGTAGTACGTGATTTTATAAAATTTAAATAACATTTTTACGAGCAGACAAATTTTGGTTAGCGTCTTACCATCTACTGATATTCCTAACATGTACATACATACAAAATTTGCCAAAATCGATCTGGTAGTTTCGGATATCATTTGTCTAGTATCCGGACACACGGAAGACTGATAGACAGACAAACAGAAGTATTGCAATCAAGTCCATCGGGGAATGGATACTTTCATGTTTTCTCCACGTTTCATGATTCCTAGAGCACGGAGCAATAGCCTTTCCGTTTCTGTGTGCCTGTCTGTCATCTATCAATTGTGTCTCTCTCTGCGCTCAACGCCTAGCACACTGAATCTGTCGCTCACTCACTTCAAGTAAAAATAAAGTCCTTCCAACGCTTGCTAACTTTCCAATTCACCCAAATTTTTGCAACTCCATAAACATTTTTACGTTTCCGGCCACTAAAGAACGCGAATTACATCATCTCCGACGGCATGGTCTGCTTCCTCCATATCAGGTCTAATTATAATAACATAATTATGAAACCCGAAGAGTGTAATCATTTATTGCAACCACCACATTTTTGGAATTCTTCACACAGGATCACGCCAACAACCACGGGAATAACCCAGAACCTTTTTTTTTCCGGTGCATTACAATCGAAGCCCCATTAGAATGTAAATTAAAGCAAATTAAATTAATCGCGAGCATCACTACCATGCTCACAGTAATTGAACTGCTTTTGGTATAAATACAGAAATTAACTCCAGAAAGTCAGTTATTTCTCGGCCTTCTTTACAACAACATCATCCTCCACACACATACAGTAAGCCACAAGAATAACACTGATAATAATAATAATGATAACAATGTTGCAGGCAATCATGTCTAGAGTTTTTGTTGCTTTAGTCGCCCTTCTCGGTAAGTCTGTTTCCCGTTTTCGCCGCCTCACGTCTCATCGATGTCTCTTTAGCGACAGCCGCCGCCGCCACCATCAAGCAGCAAAAATTGAGCGTGGTTGCTGAACCCCAGGCCCAATCCACCGACGCCATCGGCGTCATCGAGTTCGCAGGCGACTACGGGTCTCACGGGGGCAAGAAGTACTCTTCAAGCGCCGAACTTACCAGCTTGGCACACTCCTCAGCCCTCCAGGCCAAAACCGCAGTCCGCAACCAACAGGCCGCCGGCATCCAGGCCGCGTTAGGCGCTCAAACCGGATACGCTCGCGCCGCCCTCGAAGCCGCCTCTGCCGCCCAAGTGGCCCTCGTCGCTAAGCAAGTCATCGTGCAGAATCTGCAGAGGCACATCGAGGACGCCGAGCACCAGCTCCACGCTGAAGAAGCTCAGGTATAGTACTTGTCTCCGCTTACCAATCGATAACGTAGATAATCCCCAGTACCAACAATCTCTGCAAGCCGCCAACGCCGCCCAGAACGCCGTCCAGCAAAGCCAGCAACAGTTGCAAGCCGCCACCGCGGCCATCGCCGCCGTCCAGCAGTCGGTCAGCCACTCCGAGCGCGCCGCCGCCGCCGCGTCTCAAGCCGCCGCCGCTCAACACCAGATGATCCAAGACGCCCAACAGAGACTCGGCCGCTTGCACGAGAAGTTGCACGAGGCTTTGTCCGGGCTCCAGGAGACCGAGCTGTCTGCTCAGAGGGCCGCCGCCGCCGCGCAGGTGGCACAAAGCAACGCCGCCGCCTCCGCCCAGTTGGCGGTAGCGAACAGTGCGAGTAATCAGATCGATGAGCATGATGTTGTTGGTGATTACCATCACTAGGGGCTAAGAGGTGTCACGGCGCTCATTCTGTAAATATTCATCGCATCGAGAATAAATTCTGTTGAAACTAAAAATGTGGAGTTTGATTATTGCGAATTGCGGGGGTTGAGGCGGTTTATGTAATTGGAGTAAATGGTGTGTTGAAGATCGCCAGAAGCGGGTTTCTTGATCTAGATTCAAAGAAAAAAATGAAGTAATGGTATCTTTGACGTTTCCTTTTAGTTAGATAAGTGAAGTGATGAGATTTTTCAAAAATTCTGCATATATTGATAGTTAGCAATTTTGCGCTTCAGTTATTGGCTGATTGAAGGAGGAAGAAATCCACGCAACAGCTGTGGTGAATGGCAGACATCAGACGGAATTTACATGTAAATGTGGTTTAGTTTCGCCACGATTCGTTGAATTTTAATAATGGATTAAACGATTTTATGGCGTGCGTGCTAATTTTGCATGGTTGAGGAGGTACCAGACCGAGGTGGAACGTTACCTCTACTTTTGGTTTTTACGTTATCAAAAAGCATCCGTTCAAAAAATTAAAGAGTAATTAAATTACAAAAGGAAAACTAATATTTAATTGAAAGGTTTACAAATCGTGTTCGCATAAGGAAGATAATTAAGAAATTGCAATCTTTAGATCGACCTAAAATTCTATTTTTATAGGTATTTAGCTTACAAGAATCTATAAAACCATAAATTACAAGTGACGAAATCAGCAGTTACCTACTTTTTTTTTGTTTTCCATAGTTCAAGTGTTGCTTTGTAAGTACTTAAGTATTTACGAATTCAACAAGTTATAAATTACAAAGTCCAAAATTTATATTGTTTGTTTGTATATTATCTGGACATTTAGCGCTTGACCTGAACGTTAATCTTCCGAAAAACAAACAAAACAAGATAGATTGCGAAATATCTAGATAGAATTTGATTCATTTTATTCGTGACTAATTGTTTTCTTGAGAGTATACTCTAATCTTATCTCTCAGCACAAAAAAACATGTTGGAAAGGAAGCCATTAAATGGAATTCGGGAAAAACGTTTCGTCTTGTAAACTGATGAAGAACTGATTCTTCAATACTAGACTCGTAGAAACCCATTGGCTTTCATTTTTGAAGTAATTTGAAGGAATCACGTAGACTCTTGGTGTTTTGTTTTTGAAGAAGTCTGAAAGAATCTCGGGTACGCCTTTTGTTTTATTTTTGAACTACACAATTTGAAAGAATTTTGGGAACCCTTGTCTCGTTTTTGAAGTAATTTGGAAGAATCTCGGGACCTTCTTGTGTTTTATTTTTCAAGTAGTTTGAAAGAATCTCGGGAACCTCATGTGGGTCTAGTTCTTGAAGTAATTTGAAAGAATCTCAAGGACTCCTTTTGGTTCATTTTTGAAGTGATTTGAAACAAACGTGTGAATCCGTTGTGTGTGGCTTTTGAAATAGTTTGAAAGAATCTCGGGGATCCCTTTTCTTGTTTTTGAAGAAATATGAAAGAATCTCGGGGACAACCTGTGTTTGGTTTCTGAAGTAGTTTGAAAGAATTTCGGGGACCCCTTCTGTTTTGTTGTTGAAGTAGTTTTAAAGAAGCTCGGAGACCCCTTGCGTTTTATTTTTGAAATATGCAGTTTGAAAGAATCTTGGGATCCCTTGTCTTGTTTTTGAAGTAGTTTGAAAGAATCGCGGGGACCCCTTTTGAAATAGTTTGAAAGAATCTCGGGGATCTCATGTGGGTCTAGTTCTTGAAGTAATTTGAAAGAATCTCGGGGATCTAATGTGGGTCTAGTTCTTGAAGTAATTTGAAAGAATCTTAAGGATTCTTTTTGTTTCATTTTTGAAGTGGTTTGAAAGAATCGTGGGGACCCCTTGTGTGTGGTTTTTGAAATAGTTTGAAAGAATCTCGGGTATCCTTTGCGTTTTATTTTTGAGGTATGCAGTTTGAAAGAAACTTGGGGTCCGTTGTCTTATTTTTTGAAGTACTTTGAAAGAATCTTGGGAATTCCATGCGGGTCTAGTTCTTGAAGTCATTTGAAAGAATCTCAAGGACTCCTTTTGTTTCATTTTTGCAGAGGTTTGAAAGAATCGTGGGGAGTCTTTGTGTGTGGTTTTTGAAATAGTTTGAAAAAATCTAGGGGTCCCTTTGTGTTTTTTTCTTGAAGTAGTTTGAAAGAATCTCGGAAATCCCTTTTCTTGTTTTTAAAGTAAATTGAAAGAATCTCCTGGATCCCTTGCGTTTTATTTTTGAAGTATGCAGTTTGAAAGAAACTTGGGATCCGTTGTCTTGTTTTTGAAGTACTTTGAAAGAATCTTGGGAATTCCATGCGGGTCTAGTTCTTGAAGTCATTTGAAAGAATCTCAAGGACTCCTTTTGTTTCATTTTTGAAGAGGTTTGAAAGAATCGTGGGGAGTCTTTGTGTGTGGTTTTTGAAATAGTTTGAAAAAATCTAGGGGACCCTTTGTATTTTTTTCTTGAAGTAGTTTGAAAGAATCTCGGAAATCCCTTTTCTTGTTTTTAAAGTAAATTGAAAGAATCTCCTGGATCCCTTGCGTTTTATTTTTGAAGTATGCAGTTTGAAAGAAACTTGGGATCCGTTGTCTTGTTTTTGAAGTACTTTGAAAGAATCTTGGGGACCCCATGTGGGTCTAGTTCTTGAAGTAATTTGAAAGAATCTCAAAGACTCATTTTGTTTCATTCTTGAAGTGGTTTGAAAGAATCGCGGGGAATCTTTGTGTGTGTTTTTTGAAATAGATTGAATCTCGGGGACTCCTTGTGTTTTTTTCTTGAAGTGGTTTGAAAGAATCTCAGGGATCCCTTTTCTTGTTTTTGAAGTAAATGGAAAAAATCTCAGGGACCACTTCTGTTTTGCTTCTGAAGTAGTTTGAAAAAATCTGGAGGACCCCTTCTGTTTTATTGTTGAAGCAGTTTTAAAGAATCTCAGGAACCCCTTGCGTTTTTTCTTGAAGTAGTTTGAAAGAATCTCGGGAATCCCTTTTCATGTTTCTGAAGTAGTTTGAAAGAATCTCGGGGACCCCTTCTGTTGTGTTGTTGAAGTAGTTTTTAAGAATCTCGGGGGACCCTTGCATTTTTTCTTGAAGTAGTTTGAAAGAATCTCGAGAATCCCTTTTCATGTTTTTGAAGTACATAAATTGAAAGAATCTCGGGGACCACTTGTATTTTGTTTCTGAAGTAGTTTGAAAGAATCTCGGGGACCCCTTTTGTTGTGTTGTTGAAGTAGTTTTAAAGAATCTCGGGGACCCCTTACGTTTTATTTTTGAAGTATGCAGTTTGAAAAACTTGGGATCCGTTGTCTTGTTTTTGAAGTACTTTGAAAGAATCTTGAAGACCCCATGCGGGTCTAGTTCTTGAAGTAATTTATAGAATCTCAAGGACTCATTTTGTTTAATTTTTAAAGTGGTTTGAAAGAATCGCGGAGAATCTTTGTATGTGTTTTTTTAAATAGTTTGAAAGAATCTCGGGGACCCCTTGTGCTTTTTTTTGAAGTAGTTTGAAAAAATCTCGGGATCATTTTTCTTGTTTCTGAAGTAGATTGAAAGAATCTCGGGGACTACTTTTGTTTTGTTTCTGAAGTAGTTTGAAAGCATCTCGGGGACCCCTTCTGTTTTGTTGTAGAAGTAGTTTTAAAGACTCTCGGGGACCCCTTGCGTTTTATTTTTGAAGTATGCAGTTTGAAACAAACTTGGGATCGGTTGTCTTGCTTTTGAAGTACTTTGAAAGAATCTTGAAGACCCCATGTGAGTCTAGTTCTTGAAGTAATTTAAAGAATTTGAAGGACTCATTTTGTTTAATTTTTAAAGTGGTTTGAAAGAATCGCGGAGAATCTTTGTGTGTGTTTTTTTATTTTATTTATTTTTATTTTATTTATTTTATTTTTTTCCAACGGGGTTTTAAATAGTTTGAAAGAATCTCTGGGACCCCTTGCGTTTTATTTTTGAAGTATGCAGTTTGAAAGAAACTTGGGATCCGTTGTGTTGTTTTTGAAGTAGTTTGAAAGAATCTTGGGGATCCCATGTGGGTCCTATTCTTAAAGTAATTTGAAAGAATCTCCTTTTGTTTCATTTTTGTGTGAGTGGTTTGAAAGAATTTCGGGGACCCCTTGTGTTTTTTTCTTGAAGTAGTTTGAAAGAATCTCGAGAACCCTTTTTATTGTTTTTGAAGTAAATGGAAAGAATCTCGGGGACCACTTGTAATTTGTTTCTGAAGTTGTCTGAAAGAATCTCGGTGCCCCCTTGCGTTTAGTTTGTGAACTGGTTTGAAAGAATCTTGGACACCCCTGTGGGTCTAGTTCCTAAAGTAATTTGAAAGAATCTTGGGAACCGCTTGTGTATTGTTGTTGAAGTAGTTTGAAAGAATCTTGGGAACCCCTTGTGTGTGGTTTTTGAAATAGTTTGAAAGAATCTCGGAGACCTTTAGTATTTTGTTTTTGAAGTAGTTTGAAAGACTCTCCGGATCCCTTTGTGTTTTGATATTGGAATAGTTTCAAAGAATGTCGAGGAGCCCTTTTGTTCCATTTTTGAAGTAATTTGAAAGTATCTCGGAGACCACTTGGGTTTTGTTTCTGAAGTAGTTTGAAACAATCTCGGGGACCCCTTGTGTTTTGTTGTAGAAGTAGTTTTAAAGGATCTCAGGGACCCCTTGCGTTTTATTTTTGAAGTGGTTTTTTCGAAGAATCTTGGGCACCCCTTGTGGCTATAGTTCTTGAAGTAATTTGAAACAATCTTGAAAACATGTTGTGTATTGTTGTTAAAGTAGTTTGAAAGAATCTCGGGGATCCCTTTTCTTGCTTTTGAAGTAATTTGAAAGAATCTCAGGGACCCCTTGTATGTGGTTTTTGAAATAGTTTGAAAGAATCTCTGGGAGCCTTTGTGATTTTTCTTGAAGTGGTTTGAAAGAATTTAGGGGACCTCTTCTGTTTTGTTGTTGAAGTAGTTTTCTCGCGGACCCCTTGCCTTTTATTTTTGAAGTATATAGTTTGAAAGAAACTTGTGATCCGTTGTATTGTTTTTTGAAGTAGTTTGAAAGAATCTTGGGATCCCATGTGGGTCTAGTTCTTGAAGTAATTTGAAAGAATCTCAAGGACTCATTTTGTTTCATTTTTGAGTGGTTTGAAAGAATCACGAGGACCCTTTGTATATGGTTTTTGAAATAGTTTGAAAGAATCTCTGGGAGCCCTTTTGATTTTTCTTGAAGTGGTTTGAAAGAATCTCGGAGACAACTTGTGTGTTGCTTCTGAAGTAGTTTGAAAGAATCTAGTAGACCTCTTCTGTTTTGTTGTTGAAGTAGTTTTTAAGAATCTCGGGGACCCCTTGCCTTTTATTTTTGAAGTATGTAGTTTGAAAGAAACTTGGGATCCGTTGTGTTGTTTTTGAAGTAGTTTGAAAGAATCTTGGGGATCCCATGTGGGTCTAGTTCTTGAAGTAATTTGAAAGAATCTCAAGGGCTCATTTTGTTTCATTTTTGAAGTGGTTTGAAAGAATCGCGGGGATCTCTTGTATGTGGCTATTGAAATACTTAGTTTGAAAGAATCTCTGGGACTCCTTGTGTTTTTTTCTTGAAGTAGTTTGAAAGAATCTCGGGGATCTTTTTTCTTGCTTTTGAAGTAATTTGAAAGAATCTCAGGGACCCCTTTGCGTTTTATTTTTGAAGTATGCAGTTTGAAAGAAACTTGGGATCCGTTGTCTTGTTTTTGAAGTACTTTGAAAGAATCTTGGGAATCCCATGTGGGTCTAGTTCTTGAAGTAATTTGAAAGAATCTGAAGGACTCCTTTTGTTTCATTTTTGAGTGGTTTGAAAGAATCACGAGGACCCCTTGTGTGTGGTTTTAAAATAGTTTGAAATGATCTCTGGGACCCCTTGTGTTCTTTTGTTGAAGTAGTTTGAAAGAATCTCGGGGATCCCTTTTCTTGTTTTTGAAGTAATTTGAAAGAATCTCGGGGACCACTTGTGTTTTGTTTCTGAAGTAGTTTGAAAGAATCTCGGAGACCTCTTCTGTTTTGTCGTTGAAGTAGTTTGAAGGATCTCCGAAACCCTTTGTGTTTTGATGTTGGAATAGTTTCAAAGAATGTCGAGGACCCCCTTTGTTCCATTTTTGAAGTAATTTGAAAGAATCTCGAGGATTCCTTTTGTTTCATTTTTGAAGTAGTTTGAAAGAATATCAGCGACTCCTTTTGTATCATTTTTGAAGTGGTTTGAAAGAATCGCGGGGATCCCTTGTGTGTGGCTTTTGAAATACTTAGTTTGAAAGAATCTCGGGGACCCTTTGTATTTTTTTCTTGAAGTAGTTTGAAAGAATCTCGGGGATCCCTTTTCTTGCTTTTGAAGTAATTTGAAAGAATCCCAGGGACCTCTTGCGTTTTATTTTTGAAGTATGCAGTTTGAAAGAAACTTGGGATCCGTTGTCTTGTTTTTGAAGTACTTTGAAAGAATCTTATGGACCCCATGTGTGTTTAGTTCTTGAAGTAATTTGAAAGCATCTCAAGGACTCCTTTTGTTTCATTTTTGAGTGGTTTGAAAGAATCACGGGGACCCCTTGTGTTTTTTTCTTGAAGTAGTTTGAAAGAATCTCGAGGATTCCTTTTCTTGTTTTTGAAGTGATTTGAAAGAATCCCGGAGACCCCTTGTGTGTGGTTTTTGAAATAGGTTGAAAGAATCTCGGAGACCCTTAGCATTTTGTTTTTGAAGTAGTTTGAAAGACTCTCCGGAACCCTTTGTGTTTTGATGTTGGAATAGTTTCAAAGAATGTCGAGGGGTTTTGTTCCATTTTTGAAATAATTTGAAAGAATCTCAAGGATTCCTTTTGTTTCATTTTTGAAGTAGTTTGAAAGAATCTCGGGGACTTCTTTTGTTTCATTTTTGAAGTGGTTTGAAAGAATAGCGGGGATCCCTTGTGTGTGGCTATTGAAATACTTAGTATGAAAGAATTTCGGGGATCCCTCTTCTAGCTTTTGAAGTAATTTGAAAGAATCTCAGGGACCCCTTGAGTTTTATTTTTGAAGTATGCAGTTTGAAATAAACTTGGGATCCGATGCCTTGTTTATGAAGTTCTTTGAAAGAATCTCGGGTTCCCATGTGGGTCTAGTTCTTGAAGTAATTTGAAAGAATCTCAAGGATTCCTTTTGTTTCATTTTTGAGTGGTTTGAAAGAATCTCTGGGGCCCCGGTTGTGTTCTTTTGTTGAAGTAGTTTGAAAGAATCTTGGGGATGCCTTTTCTTCTTTTTGAAGTAATTTGAAAGAATCTCGGGGACCATTTGTGTTTTGTTGCTGAAGTAGTTTGAAAGAATCTCGGAGAACCTTAGTATTTTGTTTTTGAAGTAGTTTGAAAGACTCTCCGGAACCCCTTGTGTTTTGATGTTGGAGTAGTTTCAAAGAATGTCGAGGACTCCCTTTGTTCAATTTTTGACGTAAGTTGAAAGAATCTCGGGGACCACTTGGGTTTTGTTTCTGAAGTAGTTTGAAACAATCTCAGGGACCCCTTGTGTTTTGTTGTTGAAGTAGTTTTAAAGAATCTCGGGGACCCCTTGCATTTAGTTTTGAAGTGGTTTGAAATAATCTTGGGCATCCCCTATGGTTCTAGTTCTTAAAGTAATTTGAAAGAATCTTGGGAACCCCTTGTGTATTGTTGTTAAAATACTTTTAAAGAATCTCGGAGACCCCTTGCGTTTTGTTTTAGAAGTGATTTGAAAGTATCTTGGGCACCCCCTGTAGGTCTAGTTCTTGAAGTCATTTGAAAGAATTGCGAGGATTCCTTTTGTTTCATTTATGAAGTAGTTTGAGAGAATCTCGGGGATCCCTTGTGTGTGGTTTTTGAAATAGTTTGAAGGAATCTCGAGAACCCTTTGCGTTTTGTTTGTAAAGTGATTTGAAACAATTTTGAGCACCCCCGGTAGGTCTAGTTCTTTAGGTAAGTAATGTGAAAGAATCTCGAGAACTCTTTGGTTTCATTTTTGAAATAGTTAGAAAAAATCTCGGAGACCCCTTGTGTGTGGTTTTTGAAGTAGTTAGAATTTCGGGGATCTTTTGTCTTGTTTTTGAAATTATTTGAAAAAATCTTACTCTGGTGTACCATGGTTATTGGCTCCTTTGGAAAATTTTCGATTTCCAGATCTTCTCTTGCATAACGCAAATGGCCCAAGCTATAGTGTTTATGAAGAAACGAAATTTTAATATAAAATTTAATAGGTTTTAATGTCCACATTTGGGGTTTTTTTATCAATTACCACAAAATGGGTTAAAACATTTTGACAAGTTGTAACATAACTTAACTGCATTTTGGCAGCAATACTTCATGGAGTACTGTAATTCTGGTACAACAATAATTATTTTTTATTGTTATATACTAAAGTTTATAAAAAATACAATAGTTCTTTTTCTGTAATTAAATATGGCTGAAACATTAAACTTTATACTCCCACATACTCTTCTACAAAGAACTGTACAACCGTTGCATTCATTTGGTCTGAAATCCTCAACCGAGCGCCATCCACCAGGTAGTCATTCTCACTCTCTAAATCACCCCCTTGCCAAGCTCCAACACGACCATCACCATAGACAAACCACGTTTGTTGTTGTGCTCCGAGACAGTCCTGCGGAACTGTAGTAACATATTTGTCAGCGTCTATCTCGAGTACGTTTCTAAATAAGTAAAAACGAGATAAGCGATTTTACGTTGTAATACGTTTACCCAGAAGCCTTGTTGATGATGAAATAGGCCCCTGCCGGCCAACTGGATTGAAATTTCCATTGCTGGTAATCACTTCCATCGAAACCTTTTAGCGTAACCGCTGTGGGATCCCGGGCATCCACAGCCAGACCTGTAGCTACAGACCTAAATATGAACCATTGGTTGTCGTAACAAATTTGGGTGGACACAAGGGTACCCAAAAAGCATAAACTAAAGGTAACCAAACTGTAACACAAAAACTACAATAGTGAGAATATCTAAAGAGTAAACATACCTTTGGAAAACGCGACCTGTCATTGTGCTTGTACTTATCAGAACTGAAACGTCGATTTTGTTTATATATGTTCTCCTGTGATGCTAATGTAGATATTGTTGAGTTGTTTGTTGTTGTTAAATTGTTTGTGAATTGGACACATTATCGCGAGATTTTTTCTATTTATGTTTTGGTTAAGTGTTTGTCAAAGTTAAAAACAATAGGCTATTGCTACATTAAATTTAGATATATAAGATACCGAGTCCGTGTACAGTACCCACTCAGTTCACTTTGTTATCCAGAAGCTTCAGTCAATATTATAGTTTAAAATGACAATGAAGTCAAAAATCGGCTTTAAAGGGTACGTACGACTTAAATTTTTCCTAAATTTTGTACTAAAAAACTTGCAGCCTTTTCTTGAAGGTTGTTATTTTCACACTGTGTGCCAACATGGTCACAGGTGCAGACATCTGTAGTATGAAATGGGTGTATTTCTTCCAAAATGTGATCGACGTTTTGACTGTCCAACCGACAGATTCGGGTCAAATGGTGGTACAACCTACTGACTTTCTACCAAATTCGACGCAGTACTTTACAATTGAATGTGGCAGTAGGCCGGGATTATTCTACGCGGTACATATTGAAACGGGGTAATTTTAATAAGTTCTAGTGCTTTTTTTCTCATTTTTGAATGTAGGCAGGTTCTTGATGTTGAAAGAGATGTTTCCCCGCACCGTGTAATCCTGGCTGCACCAGATGACTCGTTGTGGCAACAGTGGTTCCTGGACTATGGCAACCGGCGTGTCACAAATGCAGCCACACAGATGGTTCTTGCCATAGAAGACAGTAATTTCGTTCCAGGAGCCGCAGTTGTGGTGGAAAGTCTAAAGGTTCCACATACCCCAAACCAGATGTGGATTGTGGATACAACTACTTAATAACATAATATATGTATAATTAAATATTTGTATTTTTTAACCAGTAGAAAATTTAACAGGAATGAATCCAAAAGAGGACTTATATTTTGATAAAACAAAACATTTTGGAAAATTGCGACTAAACTTAAACATAGTCAAATTTTTACTTAAAACTCGAGTTCTACATATATTCTTCTACGATGAACTCTTGTACCATTGTTGCGTTTATCTTGCCTGAAATCCCCAAACGAGCACCATCGACAAGGGCGTCATTCTCAACCATTAAATCACCTCCTTGCCAATAGGCAACACGACCATCTCCAAAGACACACCAGATTTGGTTGTATCCGGGACATTCCAGTGGAGTTGTAGTAACATAGTTGTCGTTAGCATTCATGTCTAGTACGTTTCTAAATAAGTAAAAACAAGATAAGAGATTTTTACTTCGTAGTATGTTTACCCAGTAACCCTGTTCATGACGTAATAGGACCCTGATTCGTAACCCATTTGAAATTTCCATTGTTGGTAAATACTTCCATCGAAATTTTTCAGCATAACAACACCAGTGGGATCTCGGGCATCCACAGCTAGACCTGTCGATGGGGACCTTATTGTGAACCACTTGTTGTCGTAGCAAGTTTGGGTAGACACAAAAGTAATCAAGAAGCATAAACAAATGCTGTAACTTAAAAACAATAAAAAAGAGTATGAGTAAAGTAGTCTGTTATACCTTTGCACAACGAGAGCTGTCATTTTGCTTACACTTGGTACAAAACTTCCTAAATGAAACAAAGTTTTGGTTTATATATGTTTTTGTATGATGTAACGTCTCGATATTTTTGAGTTTGTTGCAAAATTGTGTCAAGGGTGGTTATATCAATCAGAAGTGTTTATTGTTTAGTACACGTGTTCAATTAAAAAAATTTTGCTAAGTTATTGCAACATCTAGGTTAAACCTCTTTGTAGGTACATATATAAGGTACAAAAACTGTACATCTTATTCACTCACTTCACTACGTAGTTTGAAATGGGTTTCCAGTCAAAAACCGTCTGTAAAGGGTACGTACCACCTACTGCTTTCTCCAAATTTTCACCAGAAAAACTTACAGGTTATCCCTGCAGCTCGTTATATTCGTTCTGTGTACCAACACTGGCCACATGGTCACAGGTTCAGACGTCTGTAATATGAACTGGCTGTTTTTTTTCCAAAATGTGATGGACGTTTTGACTATCCAACCTTCAGAGTCCGGTCAAATTGTGGTGGAGCCTTTTGACTATGACGCAAGTTCACCTCAGCTTTTCGGCATTGAGTGTGGCAGTAAGCCGGGATTATTCTACATAGTACATAATGTAACAGGGTAATTTGACAAAGTTCTCGTGGTCGTTTTCTCATTTTTGTATCTAGGCAGGTTCTTGACATTGAGAGAGATTCCCCGCACCACGTTATCGTGGCTTCCATAGATGATGAGTCGTTGTGGCAACAATGGTTCGTGGATTACCAGAATAGGCGCGTCACAAATGCCGTCACAAGGTTTGTCCTAGCCATCGAAGATAGTAACTTCGTGCCAGGAGCCGCAGTTGTGGTGGAACCTCAAAGTGAGGAAATAACCCCAAACCAGTTGTGGATTGTGACAGAATATGAATAAGTAAATAACACTAGTACAAAAAAAGATATATTCCTTCATTGTTATATACTAATGTGTGTAAAATAAACTTTCCTTTTCTGTCTATAATTAAAAATTTCTTTTTTCGCTAAAGTTATTGTATACTCAGTTTATAAAATGTAGAATACTTTTTTTCTATAATTAAATATGGCTAAAACATTAAACTGTAGACCTCCACAAAGAACTGTTGTACGACTGTTGCATTTATTTTGTCTGAAATCCTCAACCGAGCGTCATTCACAAGGTAGTCATTCTCAAGTGGAATTTATAAGCTTGCTGTTGCAGTTGCCCCACCCACCCGCCCTAACTCAGTTGTGATGATTTTTTTATTCGTCGTGAGCCAATTTTTGAGATTTTTTAAAAAATCAAGTTTGAAATCGAAAATTTTGAAATCTTGGTCCAGTACCATCAACATGTTGTATTTTTCAACTGAGCTCATCGATATTTATATCCTAGAGTTTTTTTCTGGATTTTTGGGCAATTTTTCTAAAAGTTCAATATTTTGAAATTTTTGACTTTCGAGCATTTTTGGAAATTAAACAAATGTTTCCTATTCTACATTTCGACTTCTGTAAATATTTTGTCTTTATTTTTTCAAAAATTTCAAACATTTGTCCAGAAATATTAAAATAAAATATGACAATTTTTGAGATACTTTCAAAATTTCAGTATAAAGCCGAATTATTTGAAAATTTTAGACCCGGGAATGTCATCAAGCAATGTTTTTCGATTGAGTTCATCGATTTCTATATCCCAAAATTTTTTCAGTCATATTTTAGCAGATACTAGCCCCACCCGCCCACCCTCTCTTTTCTTAGAGTGTATGTCATCTGCCAAAATCAGTTTTATCTTAGCAGGTATAGTTTTCCCAGTTCTAATTTCGTTTTATGATAATATCCCATTGTGTAAGTGTTTTTCGGATTCATTTCTTCACAAATTCTGACAACTTTTACAGAATAGTTAAAACGAAATTTGACAATTTTAAATATATATTAAGAATTTGATATTGAAATCGAATATTTCAAAATCTCGCTTAAGTACCATCAATACGCTCTGTTTATGGACTAAGCTCAACGATATCTATATCGCAAATTTTTTTGGCAATTTTTCTATAAGTTAGATTTTTCAGTACTCTCCCTATGAAGTTTTTGACGTTTTCCAGAGAATTTTTGAAAATCATCCAAACAGTTCCTATTCCTAATTTCGATCTTTGGAAGCGTTTTTCGGTTTCATTTCTTCAAAAATTTCAGCCATTTCGTCAGAATGGTTAAAATGAAATATGATAATTTTTGAGAAATTTTTAAAATTCCAGTTCGAAGTCGAATTATTCGAAAATCTTAGCCCTGGAGTATCACCAGGCAATGTTTTTCGATTAAGTTCATCCATATCTAAATCCCAGAATTTTTGTCGATTTTTAGCCAATTTTCCAAAAAGTTCAATTTTCCAATACCGAGAATTTTGAAAATTATCCAAAGAGTTCCTTTTGTTGATATAAATCTTTGGCAGTGTTTTTCGGCTTTATTTTTTCGAAAATTCGATCAGCTTTCCGGAATCGCCAAAATGAAATCTGACAATTTTTGAGATATTTTAGAAAATCGACTTTGAAATCGAAAACTTTGAAATCTCGGTCCAGTACCATCAACATGTTGTATTTTTCAACTGAGCTAATCGATATTTATATCCTAGAGTTTTTTTCTGGATTTTTGGGCAATTTTTCTAAAAGTTCAATATTTTGAAATTTTTGACTTTCGAGCATTTTTGGAAATTAAACAAATGTTTCCTATTCTACATTTCAACTTCTGTAAATATTTTGTCTTTATTCTTTCAAAAATTTCAAACATTTGTCCAGAAACATTAAAATAAAATATGACAAGTTTTGAGTTACCTTCAAAATTTCAGTTTAAAGCCGAATTATTTGAAATTTTGGACCAGGGAATGTCATCAAGCAATGTTTTTCGATTGAGTCCATCGATTTCTATATCCCAAAATTTTTTCAGTCATATCTTAGCAGATACTAAGAGCTTAACTGCAAAATCCTTATTTCTCTACACGAAATTAAAAACATGCTTTTGAGTATCGTGTTGTTCAAAGAATACTATGTATATTAAGAAAAAATTAAAGCCAAGGATTAAGCCTCACCCATGCCTGCCCTGATCAATATAGTAATGAAGTTTTCATTCGTTGCCAGAACTAGGGGCGGAGCCGAATTGCAAAATCCATATTTCCCTACAAAAATTTAGCATTTTAAACATGTTTTAAGTTTGTGAGAATAAAAAAAAATCATCACAATTGAGATGGGGTGGGTGGGCGGGGTTTTTATTTGTCTTTATTTTCTTAACACACATTGTATTCTTTGAACAACACGATACTCAAAAAGATGTTTTTAATTTCTTGTAAAGAAATAAATATTTTGTAGTTAAGTATTTGATAAGAAAATACTGATTTTGGCACTTTTGATATATTTGACCATTTTTCAACTACATATATCTGAAAATTAGATGAAGATATTTTCTTGGAGATTTCGATATCCAGAAGTCATTTTCGGTTTCGTTTCTTCTGAAATTCCTACCGTTTTTCCAAAGTCGCTAATTGAAATTTGTGCAGCAATCTTTACAGTTTCGTCAAAATAGCTCGCTATGAAAATTTTGTAGATAACAAAGAAAATTGTTATTAATTTTTGTTTCACAAAATACAATTGTTTCAAGAAAGTACTTTATAGTTTTTATATATCTACACAAATATTTAAAATTAGTTTATTTGGGACAACAGAGAATTTAGATCAGGTCAGGTGGACGAAATAAGAAATAAAATTTATAGCAAATTAATAGTAAAACAAAAAAAGTTACGATTAGCGTTTTTTTTTTTTTACTTTTTTGAGATCCTAGATTCTATTAATTATTAGTTTCCACTCCCTCTCGACAGAACAACATAATTAGCCCCGCCCACCCACCCTGTCTCCTTTTCAGTGACTGGTTTTATCCGAATGAAATGAATGATCTTATCCTGAACAGAAATAAAATAAGTCATTAGAATAAGAAGAGGGGGTGAGCGCAGCTAGTACTTACTAAGACAAGACTGATTTGGCAAATGACATACCTTCCAAGAAAATAGAGGGTGGGTGGGCGGGGCTAGTATTTGATAAGAAAATACTGATTTTGGCACTTTTGATATTTTCGTCCATTTTTCAACTACATATATCCGAAAATTGGATGAAGACATTTTCTTGGAGATTTCGATATCCAGAAGTCATTTTCAGCCTCGTTTCTTCTGAAATTCCTACCGTTTTTCAATATCGCTAATTGAAATATGTACAGCAATTTTTACAGTTTCGTCAAAATAATTCGCTACGAAAATTTTGTAGATAAAAAAGAAAATTATTATTAATTTTTGTTTCACAAAATACAATTGTTTCAAAAAAGTACTTTGTAGTTGTTATAAGCATATCTACACAAATATTTAAAATTTGTTTATTTGGGACAATAGAGAAGTTAGATCAGGTCGGGTGACGTTAGGTCAAACCAGGTCAGGTGGACGAAATAAGAAATAAATTTTATAGCAAATAGTAAAACAAAAAAAGTTACGATTAGCTGTTGTTTTTTACTTTTTTACATCCGAGATTATATTAATTATTAGTTTCCACTCCCTCTCGAAAGAACAACATAATTAGCCCCGCCCACCCACCCTGTCTCATTTTCAGTGACTGTTTTTATCCGAAGTGAATGATCTTATCCTGAACAGAAATAAAATTAGTCGTTAGAATAAGAAGAGGGGGTGAGCGCAGCTAGTATTTGCTAAGACAAGACTGATTTGGCAAATGACATACCTTCCAAGAAAATAGAGGGTGGGTGGGCGGGGCTAGTATTTGATAAGAAAATACTGATTTTGGCACTTTTGATATTTTTGACCATTTTTCAAATACATATAACTAAAAATTAGATGACGCCATTTTCTTGGTTCACGGCGAATAAAAAAATCATCACAATTGAGATAGGGCGGGTGGGCGGGCTTACATTTTGCCTTTTTGTTTTAATATGTGTAGACTTCTTTTCACAATATTGTGATAACCCAAACATCCCGCCTTAAATTGACATGTGAAA